TGGGTGGCTAGCTCTTTAATTAAATGATATAATCGACTGATACAGGAATGATCAAAAAGATGTTAATAGTTCGTATTATCCAATAAAGAAAGCTAACGTACACACCCATAACGCAAGTGGGTTAGGGCGCTTGTGCACTACACTGAATTTTCATGTACGGCGGTCCGATTTTTTTAGGCCCGATATGTCAGGCCATATATAGGTAATCCTAGCCAGTGCACTGTTAGGAATTTTACCGTCCGGGATTTTACTTTTCTCTATTCCGGATCGTTTTTTTCAGGTCCGTGATGGCGGCAATGAAAAACGTGTTTACGCTTGTGCACTGCTGTGTCTGCGATCCGGAAAATTTATATAGAATAGGCTTGGGAGAAAATAATCGATATTTATTTCGGCGATATTGTTAATTTCCAATGAACTTATATATTTATTGTAGATTATTAAATGCTATATTTTACTAGATGATTTAATATAGTTGGTAAATATCACTATATATGCTTTGGAAAACTCGGTATAATTCTAATTTGATCAGCGTATGGTTCTAGTATCGATACTTAGCTAGATTTTAGAATCGTATTAAAAGTATTGATAACTTAAGGTAAGATAAATAAGTGCTGTTACGCTTAGACACCTAAACAACTGAACCCATCTTAATGGAAATTAATATAGTAAATAGACTTAACTTTAAGAAAGGACATAGGCTACATTTTATCGCGAAAAATAGGGAATGAAAGTTTGCCTGGAAATTTGTCACTATCAAATTTTTTTTAGACAATTGATAAGTATAGATAAATATTTGATAACAGAAGTAATAATAAAGAATAAACAGAAGATTAACAGAAGTAATTAAGTGACACTCAATGTCTTTTCGCATTTAAGTCTATGTTGTAATAAAAATTGAAATGACTGTTAGTGTCATAAATAAATTTAAAAAAGAAGTATTCTAAATAAAAAAATATTTCTGCTTAAAGAAACTACACCACGCGTATAAAATTATGCCTATATATAATACAGTCAACTGATCTCGTAAAGTTCATTTAGCATATTAATTCTCTGCCTAAACGGAACTAATTTCGTTTTGTTTACGATATGACGCCACCGATTAATCGATCTCTGTAATCGCTTAAAGTTGTTTTTACAAAACTTCGAAAAAAATAGCATGTTTATAAATTTAAACATCAAGTACTAGACCATTATCAGTAATTTTATTCTAATGTCACAGATATTTTTAGCTATTGTATGTGAATAATGCTGTCCCTAAATTAGTAAGGGTATAAGTTTTTACATCTGATAGTAGTCATCCGATAGTAATAAAAAAATGCCTTCGTCTTGCCTCAATTTATTATAGTTTATCTAAAATGATCAGGTCATTATTTAGGTACCTTTCTACGTCATCGAACGTAATTACCGACGTTCCAAAAATCTCATCGTACCAAGCGTAAGTGACGTGTAGCTTCAAAGAGAGCTGCCCTATACTGCGCCGCTCCGATCAGGAAAAAAACGGACAAGTGCACAAGCTACTCATCCGGGTTTTTCATGTCATTCCGGACCGGAAAAATCGGACCGCTGGCCCTGAAAATTCAGTGTAGTGCACAAGCGTCCTTAAGCCTAAACTTTCATAATAAATTCTTAATACTAATACAACTATACAAAGATAGGTTATACCGCGATTCAGACGGCCACAGCGCCATTTATCGAAAATGAGAATAAGCAATGTATTTATTGCGATTTTTTTAGTAATAGTTAATATCAATTTAAAATGATAAGATAAGATAATAAATTAAGCTATTTTGGCCATGATATTTTTTTAAAGCTAACAAAACTAAATTAACGTTTTGGCGGCTTTTAAATCAGCCGTCTTGCTGAACGGTACAAATATCATAGTGTATTGTCATCAACTAAATAACTAGGCATTCATTTGAATGGCACCATTCAATTAAATTGCTAGCCGCGCAATTGAACGGCTGTTTTAACCAGTTAGCTGCGAAATATATATATTATTCATGACTGAAGATTTTTTTTAAACAAATCAAAGGAACCCAAACTGGATAGGGTTGCGTTACTTAATTTGCTATCTTCCTTTACTATCTTCCGGTTTCATCAGACTGTAGGATCCTGTGAAGATAAATGAAACTCTATCAACAGGTCAGCTTTATTCATTCGGAATTCATTTACTTGTTTTCTAATTTTTTGTGGTTATGTATTTTTTGTTTAACCACTGGTGTTTAAGTCACAAGAATTCACAACTTTATTACCCTCCCGTAAAACACTAGTGTCCCGTTTTGATTCGAAGAAAAAATTATCACTTTGTGTTGACTTTGTGCATGCATCTTAAATTTCAGTTCAATCGAATAGCGGCAATTGGGTCAAAACCTTGCAAGATTTGACCCTCTCTTACTAACACTACAAGTTAAAAGCTCATAAGAAATAGTTATATGCTATTTTCAACTGCATCTTATCTTAGCTTAGATTTGTAAATAGGATAATGTTACACTTATTATATTGTAATTGGCACCATCGTGCGACTTTTAGAGCTTTACACGCATATTAGACTTATTGCATACTACCTTAGCTGACTCACACTTACTAACACTGCAAGTTAAAAGCTCGTAAGAAAAAGTTTTATACTATTTTCAACTGCATTTTCAGCTCCGTAAATAGGATAATATACTCGTAATTACATTTATTATATTGTGATTGGCACCATTTTGTGACTTTTAGAGCTTTATATGCATATTAGACTTATTACATACTAATTTAGCTTTCCGTCAGCGGCTTCGGTACTATTACCCTAGGGTACTATTTATTTGGATATCGATTCATATCATGACATGATAATTGAATAGTATGCAATGTATAGTAACGTTTTAATTCCCTATATAAACTTCCATTCCAGTTTTCATCTTCGATATGTTGACCGCATATGATGTAGCTTAAAATCAATCCAGTACCTTCGCCTACGTTGCCAACAAAGAAATTTCCGACCGATTCTGTAACTGCCTTTAGAGCCCAGAAAAAAATGTGTTAGGAGCATACGTCATTTACAGAGTACGGATACCTGTAAGCCATATTTTATTCAACTAAGTGTTATGACATTTTATTAAACTAATTTATATATTCGAAGTTCGTGTTTTTGTCAAATAGAATCAACAATTATTTGAAACCAAGACGAGATTGGATCGTTAAGACAAGTTGTGTACGGTACCCTCTGACAGCTCTATTGAATAAAAATATCTTTTGTATCCCTCCAAAAAAAAATTATAGAATTACCAAAAACTGTACACAATCTGGATGATTTTTATGTTTTTAAAAGAGAAGTTTGTAAATTATTAGTAGCTTAAGCATATTACAGTGTAAACGAGTATCTAGCTGATAGTACTTTGTAACTGTATAAATACTTAATTAATTAATTAAAATTTAATTGAATTTTGACATATCATATTATTAATTAGATTAGTTGACATTTACTTACCTACTAATATTATATGTCTTTTAGGTAGATCGCAGTGTAACTATTCGGTCCTTGTATCTAATATCTTTAAATAACCTGTGATCAACAATAAAGATTGATTTGATTTGAAACAAACAAATCTTTCATCTTTATAATATCACTATAGACGTGGATTTTATTTCATATCCCAACTTCAATTAATTAGCTGCCGTAACTATTTTCAAATTCCATTAATCACTTTCATTTATAGTTATGGTATGCTTCCATACAAGTTGAAGACGAAATAGTACCGGCAGGATATCAATGAATCGTGTCAAAATAGTTGGTACTATACCAACAGAATATATTTGAATCCCTATTGTCTGAGTAGTAAAGTTTACAATGATATATAATAATGTCCGACGGTATTTTAAGAATAACGGGTTTTTAGGTCAGTAAGTTCCAGACCTCTCTTAATCTGGAGTTTGTTGTAAAATTACTCGACTTATAAAGTTCGAATGTTTTGATTTCAAATGAATGTGTTATATATTTCTATTGCGCTATATTTTGCCAATATGTAACAATTTTGATTAACTTTTTTTTTGTGTAATAAAAACTGACTTTTTGGATAAACTTAGTCTTGTATTGTTCTAATAAAAAAAAAATTATTAGAAAAGAGGGAGGTTCTCGAAATTTTATTTATTGTCTAGAAGATATGTAAATATAATGGTGTTCCTTTAATGCTTATATATGCTCCCTCTATAATTTTTGGTATATTTTACATAGCAAAAAACGAGCAATAAGTTATACCAAACTGGCCTCTGCCATTTGAAATCTGACCATTATTATATCTGGAATATTAATATATAATATTTATCTTAAATCCACAGGTTCCTAATCCAATAAGGTACCTACCTGTATTGGTTGATTGAATACATGTTTTATAAGTTATGTCAGAAAATATGCATACTTATTTATTTAATGATGTTTTCTATTTATTATATAACTAATTTTTGAAAAAAGATTTAAGGTTGCTCGATTTTTTTCAAAATGACAAAAGAATTGAAATTTCATCCGGGAATTCAGACTTCCTGATATCAGAATTAGAGTCAAGTTAACTCTTTCTCTACCCTTTAAAAAGAGAGAATACTATGCAATTAAAATGTAGTGGCCTAATAAAGCTAGTTACTTGCTCACCATTTACCATAAAGCAAAACGTTGTTGTGAATGAATCATCAAATATAATGCTGCCCTTATCATGAACTACAAAATCAGGATGATACTAAGTGCATATTTCGTTGTCCCGCTTCATCGAATATCATTTATTTCTGAAATTAAAAAAGTTTTTATATTGATATTCCATTATTTTAATTAAATTTTATTATTTATTCTTAGAAATTCAAAATAATATAACATTTGAATATATGTTTAAGCTCTATTATAAGTTCTATTACAAAAAAATTATTTTCAAAGTACATTAGATAAATAGAGTAACAGGGTGATATATTTCCAATATACTAACACCTCTTTAAAATTAAAATGTACTGCAGACCTACGACAGCGGGCATATAGCCGAAGATAGCGACACTCCCCATTCTGATACCACATCACGTATTAATGCTCGTATATAAAGTAAGCCCTGAACTTCCCTGGCATACATTGTGATTGTTTATCGTACGGCAGTCAGTCGCCTCTGCCGTAAAAAAATGGTGAAAACAAAAAAGTGCAACATGGCCAAACTATTAGTGCTGTTATCGATAGCTGCTTATGCTAGTGCACAATCGTACTCAGCCACAAATTTAGTCAAGAACATTTATAATGAATGTTTGAGTCAATATTCCGTGGAATGTGTGAAGCCAAGAGCCCTGCAGTGGATTTCGCTTGTGGCTAATGATGACGAGATAAAAATCACAGACAACCTCTCCATCGTGAGAACGGCGACAATCGAAGATGATGCTAACGTCGACCCAAGAAGTGCCAAAAATCCAGCTGTTGAAATAGTGGATCAAGTGGATCGTTTTATACAATCACATGCGGTCAAAGTGAAAGTTCCTGAAGATATTACAAATAGTGCTGCATCAGAATATGTGCCAAGATCGCTTTTGACCGATCTTCCATCAGAATTGAATATGCCCCTTGATGGTGAAGAAGAAGTTGAAGAGTTTGAGGGAAGGAAGAAGAAAATCAAGCTGCCCAAACCTTTGAGGATTAAGAGCAGTTAGTTATTAACAAATCAATATTCATTAATGCTTTCAAATAATCAATTACGAATATATTAAGAGTGTAATTATTATTTTTGCAGAACATGGCTTCATCAAGAAGGTGCTTCTGCCTTTCCTTCTCGGTTTGAAGTTCAAGGCTTCAGTACTGGTTCCTCTAGCTCTCGCTCTTATCGCTCTGAAGACCTGGAAGGCTCTCACTCTTGGCCTTATCTCTCTTGTTTTATCTGGTAAGTAATAATTCGTAAACTTTATTACTAGATCTCATTTACCTTATTAATATGCCTATAGAAACCAGTAAAAAATTACAACACCATTATTAATAAATAGATCAGTGCATACTTAACAGTTTAAGTGCAGAAACTATTTGTGTGTAGAAGTTTACAAAAGGATTTAACATTTCTAATTGTGTCACGAGTAATCAATTGTTTTTATTTCACAGGTGCTATGGTCATCTTCAAATTTACCAAACCTAAAGTTGTGAATTATGAAGTTATCCACTACCCTCAACACCATGTGGAACATCATGTCGACCACCACGCTCCAGCGTGGGACGCTCACGGTCCTTATCAAGCACGATCTTATGAAGATGCCCACGAATTAGCTTACAATGCGCAAATATAAAATTTTAACCAAAGCTTTAAAATAATACGGACCTCGAATTAAATTAAATTATTTATTTATTTATTACTACGTTGTAAATAAAGCTTTAAATTAAGTTTCTCATAACGAAGAGTGTTGTTTATTTTTCCTTAAATCCTCATCTCATTATTACAACCTCTACAGTAGACAAAACCTTGTTAAAATTCTCATTGAAAACCGTAATATTCCTATTCATGTCGATAACTGCAGTATTTTCACTATGTGTGGTTTGATTAGCTTTCAGTAATGATTCTTTTTCTATCTTTGCACGATTATCATATTCGTTAGTAATTTGACTGCTTATTTGGTCACTACCTATATGTCCGAATATGTCATTATATGATTCCACTTCTTGTTTAGGTGCAGTTCCTTTCAATCTATTTATGTCTATTTTAAGTTTAGTATCAAAATATTCTGGTTCATTGTCCTGCACGGTATAAATGGGTAGATTTGAATTGTTATGTTTGGGTTGTGTCATATGGATCGCTTCTTCTATCTGTTTAAGATTCACCTCTATACGCGCTTTCCTTTCTCTTGTACTTTCATTTGAATCAAAATGCATGACGGTATCTGGACTGTCACCCCGGCTCGGTAGAAGCATTTGATTAGAAAACTGTTTGTAAATCTTCGATTGGCTCAATGGGTTAATTTTGTATAAATTTAGCAACACTTCGAAGTTCTCGTCGATGTCTCGTTTCGTCATATGGTATCTTTTACTATGAGTATCCCCGTTGATTACCTGTGAAATAAAAATGAAATTTTATTTTTACGACTTCAAAAAGGAGGAGGTTCTCAATTCGACTATATATATATTTTTTTGTGTGATTGTTACGCGATTACTCAATGGTTGACTGATTTACAAAATTATTTTTTATCGGAGAGTTTAATGGGCTAAGGAAGCCTTTTTTTAAATTTTATCGAAATCGAAGCGATTGCTGTAGTAGAAAGGAGTTTTCCTTTTGTAATAAATCAAAATACACTTTCACCAGATACCACATAAATAGTTATATGATATGTTTAGTTCAAAAAACAAAAGATTGGGTATTTTGAAACCATTCAAAATCCGAAAGGAGGATATTCTATGTTCAACGAGTAGGTATGTATATTTTTTATGAATGTAGGTTAGGAACGTTCATCGATTTCTTCTTGAATTGTGAACCAATTTTCATCAAATTAGCTGTTTACCCGCGGTAAATTATATATAACCTATGTCCCCCGCGTTTTATGGACACTTTTAAAAAGTCTAATAGTTTCGGAACCTATCCAATGCAAACAAACAAGTAATCAAATCTTTCCTCTTTATAATATGAGTATAGATTATTGAAAAAAAATTGTCTAGCAAATAAACAAAATCTCCTTTTTTAAGACTCTCATTATGTTGAATATTTTAATTCATACAGGTATTTAACATTTTTAGTTTTACCTACTAAATAAAAAAAAAACAATATCACTATATAGCTGAAATAAAATCCTTTTTTTGAATTGCAATTGAAGTCGGGTGTCTCTTATTTAGTTAACACCCCACAGAATATTTCCGCGTGAAACACATAACCCTTCCATTGCAGTCGGGTAAAAACAGGTGCTAACAACGACACATCTGCTCTTAACTCGGTGACAAGAATATACAAACATATTATCTACAACCGACGAAATATACAAACATATTACCTACAATCACTAACTTTTGCAAGATATAACGTCCATATGTGTTGCTATTGATAATGAGAGAACTCCACCATATATGTAAGCTTATTGATTAGGTCAAAACATGAATAGAAAAAAAAAGCACAAAGTTACCCCTAAAATTCACCAATCCATTTATGAATTCTCGTAATTATATTTTTTTAGAGTAATAATGTGAGTGACTTTGTAGCCGAAGACTCTACCCAGAACTTTGATCATGTTAAAGGTTTGCAAGTAATTGATTTTCGACATGTAATCAATTTTCTTTTCTATCTCTCTACTCGATTTCGTCACTGTCACTCTTTTGTTTTATCGTTCAAAGAAAGATACCTATATGAAAATTATAGAATTGTAATTTAAAACTGCAATTAACACTAATTAACACATTCCTTTTAGTTCAAATTATATAATAAATTACTTACCAATGAAAGAATTATTGCTACTAAAATGGAATGGAAATAATGGCTGATTGTAAGCATGGTGTCGAAATTTCGATAAAATATCTTGCTGTCGATAGAAGTTGTCAATAATTTGTATATTTATCGATAGAACCTAAGTATGGGTAATAATAATAATGTAGCTATTTTTATAAAATTACTATTCCGTTTCTCTTATCTAAAAGATCCAATATTATAACGAAACTGACGTGCAGTAAAAAATTAAGATATTTTCATCTTCTGGAGTAAAAAGTTGTTTTATTTTTATTTTAGGTTATTGACAAAAAATGGGGATCAGCGGTGTGTTTAAAAATAGATTTGCTAAACGCGGCAACGTTGCATTATGGCCATTCTAATATCTTTGATTGTCTTCACATTACTATTGAAACTTATAGTGATTTTTGAAATCGATAAATGATGTTTTTCTCTGTTAGATCGTGCTATCGTTTGGCTTAAATAGCAAATATATATTTTTTCTGTAATTGTAATTTGTAGTAATTTTAATTACTATCTTTATACAACCGATTTTTTTTACCTAACTAAATAAAGCCAAAATCTTAACACTCAGATTTTGGCCGGTGTGTATGTAAGAATGTTTATCTGTTCCCTTATAACTTCGAAACTACTCATTGTAACTGGACAAATTAAGTATTATCAGAAGAGTCTTAGTTTTTCACCTGCTATAGGCTATGTAACATTACATTAAATCGGCAACAGCGCCCTCTAGAGAGCATAAAGTAAGAAACTAAAAAAATATTATTCAATCATTCCGTTTAGGGTATTGCTGAAGGGAATCTTTTTATATAGATTTACTTTTTATATTTTTTGATATATATATGTCGCATCATCATTGCGAAAATCGTTTGATTTAGTTTCTTTTATTTTAATTGCTAGTTACTCGATTACTTAATTACTCGATTGTAAAGAGAGCGTGATCATCGATACCCTTAATTTTATTAGAATGGTGACACTGACTTTGACAGTTCGTTAATTAAAAGCAAGTTGCCGCCAATTTGGCACACATTCTGTTTCCGAGGAGTAAAGACATCAGATGACATCACGCTCATCTCGTTATATTTTCGTAAGAAAAGTGATAAAATGGAACAAATCCACGTTGGTATACACGCCTGCAGTGTTATTTTAAAGATAGTCCTCCGATATGGACGATCTATTTGGGCTTCGTAATAGCCTGTTCTGACTACCCGCCGTTATATATATATGTACCTATATATATCATACATTTTTTATGTATTATCCGCCGGTTTTCAGAAAAGCATTTTAAGTGTTACCTGTTATATAAAAAATATAAATATCATTTAAAAGCATATGATAAAAACTTAAAAAAAAGTAGAATCGACTTCAAACTTTGAAGAAGTGTTCAATAATACTTATCTCAAAAGCGACTTTTTAAAGAAAATGCTATTGAAGTCGAGCGCCTATCATTTAATTAATAACCTACGGAAAACTTTCGTCCGATTTTAATAGCATTTTCTTGAATAAGTTGCTTTTGAGGTAAGTATTATTTTTTTGAGTTATCGATATTGCAAGTAGTTTTATCGATATCTCCGGTGTTGTAGATTGCCAATCACTATATAGCAATTAGCAGCTAGTTTGCGTCATTTGTTATGTATTGTTATCAGAACTATGGTCTATAATTTACAAAATATTCACCAACTTTACAAAACTACAAAGATCTTGATTAGAAAACTTGAAAGGAAAGAACTAAAGAAACCGTTAATGCTTTGCTAAATTGGCAGCATTTGTAAAATATTGAGTCTCTTTCTTACAAAAAGTTGTAAACTTAAAAAGACAATAATATTGATTATATATAAGAAATACTAGCTGACTCGGTGAACTCCATACCACCATATTTATAAATAATATCGTTTTATATACAAAAAAAACCTTGACCTGACAATAAGTAACACACAAAATATATTTATTCAATATGTGCCGTCGCGTCGTTTGGTTATGCGCTTACTACATACATATATACCTGGCGATATATACGAGTATATAGATGTTGGTGTTTGTTGGTTGAAGCACGAACTCCTTTGTGGTTTGTGGTTTCATTTTTTTTTCTTGCGCTTTTCTCACTAAACATTACATGTATTTCTTATAATTATTTCATGATTTCACTGTAAATACATAAGCGACCGATGATTTTTTTTTATTATTTTTGAAGTTCGTATTAATACAATACAATGTCTGAATGAAAGTGACTTAACCAACATTAAAGTGTGTAAATTAGAAATTTTCTACTATTCAAATTTTAAAATAAACTAAAAATGTTAAAATTCTTACCAGGTTATTTATAGTTATCATACAATCTGAGAGGTTTAATCTGAGTCTAAAACCAGATGAATTGAATTGATAAAAAAATTACGATCAGTTAATTTTATTTCTCCGTGATGAGTCCTGATTCAGTTAGACAACCTGGTTCTATCTAAATAATTAATCTCATATTTTATCTTCCATATAAGCTCTCTCATAATCAAACAACAGATAAGGGGATAAGGGTATAAAGAAAGCACTAAAAGCACCTCACTAGACAGCGACTCTACCAAAAGTTGATTTTTGCAGGAAATGAATGGACCAAAGATAGTCATTTTCATTCCATTTAAATCACATACGGTCAGTTGCACAAAAGTCTCTAGTGAATGTCCAAAATGTATGGGTAATGTCGCTTTAAACTAATGAAAATATTAATGAACGTTTGTGCAACTGGCTCATAGCATATTATTAAACTGAAATTTGCAAAGTTCGAAACTTAAATATTAATACTAATACTAAAAAGCACAAATAGAATATAGGTTGTTCATTGATTTTTGAAAATCAATTTACTTTTATACATAAAAGAAAACCGGACGGGTTGTCATGGAGAAATAAAGAAAGTACCGTAGTGGCATCTAGTTTGATTTTGGGAACTATTTTTTTTAATACTTCCTCATTGCAAATAAATAATATCCCAAAGGCCAAATGAACTTACTCCATGCACCACACAATGTTAGAGTTTTAGAAATGCAACTAATTATTAGACGAACTAATACATTTATTTGCTTGATAAACTGATAGGCATACAATGATATTAACACAAAACAGTCATAGAAAAGCAAAATAAGCAACATAGTTTTAAAATGCTACGACTTCAGTGCGGGTTCCATACAAAATTATAAGTTCTTCTTTGTTAAAATTTTATGTATAAGAATTATTATAATAAATGCGGTAACCCTGTCCACCTATTCTATGTACTGGGAAAAGATCCTTATAGCATCTTATCTAATGATACCAAATACCAATGACGCTACATGCGGAACTATAAAGCGAACAAGCGGTAGCCGATACCTAATTGAAACTCTGCTGTGTGACATGACACGACTATAGATACGCTTACGCTGGTATTTAGTCTTGTAGAAATAATTACTTGAGTGTATTAATGAATTATTTTAAATCAATAATAAATTAGAATTCCGATGAAGTAAAAACTCTAAAGATGTAGAATACTATTATAGCTGTTGACAGTTCATGCTTAATTAAAATTATCGTGTATTGATTATAAATATTTGTTTTATATATACCCAAAAAGCATACAGTTCGCTACACTTTCTAAAAGGTTCTAATAACATCCCAAAAGTGCTCCACAAATTAAAAATATTTTGTTTACATTTTTGTTTTTATTTATTTTACACATACAATGCTCCGTTAATTAAATTGTTATTTTTATATGTGCAACAAAGTGTTTATCTACCTGTCTTTGGAACTGTACACTGACTTGTAAAGTGTAATAAATTTCAACTTATCAGACCCGTAGTTTAGGATCATAAAAATAGTGACAAACAAGATGGGCGTAGAGACGAAAAGGCTGATGTGAGTGATCCTAAATATGAGGTTTCTAATGTACCTTGTTAATTACAGAACCCTAACAAGCAAACCCAATCTAAGTCAATAAAGTGGATATAACAATGACAAAATTCTAATTGTACGCCAAAATCACGCAAATATCTAGTTTTGAAAACAATTTACTCAAGAATACAAACAATCTTCTTCATTTGTGTTGCCATATTCTGAAAATCTGTTCTCCGAAATTTAACGGTAACTCATATTAACATAGTATGATTTATGGTATTAAAATCTACGAACATGAGTGACATGATCATCCATCTAAAGTTAAATACACGAATCTATTTTATATATTATATCTCCCTTTCTCTTTCTCAAATAATTATTCCGACATTTATATTAGATTTAACTCATTATTTAAAACGATTCATCTCATTATTTAAAATAATTCGATTCGAGTAATCAGAGTGAATCATTTTAAACATATTATGTAATATGATTCAATTTGATTACTCGAATTGGCGTATTTGCCAGGATTGAGTAACTCTAAGGATAACATACCAAGATTTACCATTTTCACGCCATTTGTCACTATCAACTCCTATTAAATAGACTCGGATTAATGTAATGCTCCGTATATACACTGTTCATGTAGTCTAGATCCTCGTGATAGCTTGAGATATTGCTATAGTTAATTTTCTGGATTAGGTAAGAATTTCTAACTCTCTTTACTCGCAGGGGCATTTGTGCTATTGAGAGCCAGGCAGATAACCTGGAATGGAATGAAGTTAGCTTGCACCTGTGATTGAAATCCTCGTTTTGTTCGGTCTGTTATTTTACTGAATGGTAATTTTTTCGAGTATTAACTACAAAATGCATGCGTTAATGTAAAAGTAATGTTATGATATTTTGAGCAATTTTTGAATATATAAATAGGAATCGCAAATCATTAAAAACGTAGGTATTACTTTTTACTTTGAAATGGGTAAATTTTTATAGTACAATGGCAACTTTATGATACAGCTAAGGAATATACACAAGTCAACTATAAATGGTTATAAATGCTGATATGCCTGACTATTCTCATTTAGTTTTCACCAAAACATGGCCATCTCGTTTTATAGTGTAGTGTTATGGTAAGTTATAAAGATATTTATTTTTTAAGCCACCGATTAGAATAATCCTAGAATAGTCAGAAAATCAAATTTGGAAAAGGCAGTATTTTTTTGGGAATTTTTGGGTTATGGATAGATAACTAAGGGGTTTAAACAGAGATTGAAACTTTGGAAGTTTATAGGTCCGCTTTGTTGATTTTTTAAGTAATTTCTATACTTTAATATAAAAAAAAAAATAATTAATTAATAATCTGCAGAAAACCTCCGTCCGAGTTCAAAAGAAGTTTCTTGAATAAGTCGCCTTTGAGATAACCATTTTTATCACTTTTTTAATTCGGTAATGAAAAATAAAATAATACGAATAAGTTTGCCAAGTACCTACCTTGATTCAAGTATAAGTTAAGTTGACCCTTTCTGATAAGTTTCGTACTGTTTAGCAAATTATGAATAATTGCTATATTTTTTTCAGTGTGTAGACTACCTAAGGTAATAAATAGATTTGATTTAAAAAGTTTTTGTTGAAAATTACTAAGGGTTGCCAACTTGAAAGAGTTAGATTATTTAATTACAAAGATACCAAAGTCAACTTCCAGTTACATTATCGGAACCTGGACGCTATCTCAATAAAAAATATTATATAATAATAAATAATCCCAAACTAAATCGAATTGCTTTTCTTTTAATTACAGAGGTCCCGATACTATTTTTCAACTTCACCCAATGGTGAAGCTGATCCAATGATCAGCCCTATTTCCTATTAATATCGCATTGCCATCTAAGTTATATATACATCTCCAAATAAATTACATGTAAAGATCGAAATAATCTTTAAAAAAAATACGGTACAATTGAATATTGTGGTTTGGAAGTTTTAATCCACATAAACTACAACAGTTTACTAAAGAGTCTTCTAAATGGCTAATATTTTTCTATAATTAGTGGCAACATTGCAAGAAAAGCCAGCTAGGCAATTGCAATGAGAGCCTAATATTGAGCTCTCATTGCAATGTTTAATCCATAAAGTGAGCGGGACACCGCTATTGTACCTTAAAGCACTGTTCTGGTGAACGGATTTAACATTGCTATGGGAGGTGATGGTAACCCCCAAGGTTGTGCAATATAGACAATTTTGTCGTATGCCCCAATGTGAATTCTCTCGTTTCTTTGCTCATAATCAGTTCATAAGCTTTTCTCAAGTTTAATTATTTCACAGAACCGTCCCCCCATTGCAATGAGAATTTTATTTAGTCAAGTCCAAATTTAACTTAAAAAAAAGGAATTTCTGAATGCCTATAATTTTATTTATAATAATACTTATAGAATACTTATATTTTTTTTTTAAATCAATGATATTATAATAAAGAATAATAATTATAGTCTTTGTAAGGATGGAGAATTCGATGAACTATGACCCCACTTTAAACAGAATAAACAACAATCTTTTTTATTTGAACAGGCTACAATGTTTGGCTGTAGTACACACCTTCATACCCAAATGGAGCTACTACGATTGGTACTGGTACGTCGCAGACTACGAGAAGACAGAAATAGATCCTGAAAGATACACATCACCGCTTCCCACGAGAGTAAACGGTACCAGAGAAGATGTACCAAGTCCATTGGAAACACCAGATTTTAGACTGGAGGAGAAACCTTACTACAGGTTTTATCATTATTATACATACGAAGAGGAGCGCCCTTATCGGATGTCACCTTTCTACAAACAAATGATAAGGATGGAAACACGGGTGTGTAATATAAGATATGAAAATTATGTTATATATATAAATAATTTTAAACTAATTTTATAACAAATACTGATTGATCTATTTATAAAATTTTGAACATTAATTCATTTTATGAATTATATATCTCTAAATAGTGCAGTGGTTAGCACGCTCGGTCTACGACATAGTTATTAAGCAACTTTCGCAAGGGCCAGTTACAAATTGGGATACCAAAAATTTATTACCTCGAACACACTAGACCCGCGTAGTGTGTATGTCCCTGTCTTCCTCTCCGACAATGGACAACCCATTGGATTTAATCAAACTCATTTAACGTTCAATACAGTATTGAACGTTCAGTGCATTTTTGATTGAATGCAATGGTTGATCTATTGATAAAATTTAAACATCTTTATAGACCCAAGAATTCATTTATCTAATATAGCGTTGCAATTATTTTTTCAGAAAAACTGCAAATTTTTAAAAGTACTAAGGTTATGATGTAATAGAAGGTTTAGGTACAAGGCATATTATTGATTGAATATTTATTTTAAGGATAATCCACACAATATGGGCTGTACATGCACTACAGTTTTCAAGAGATTGAAGGTTTTGGCCACGTGTGCTGTGCTGACGAGAAGACATGTGCTAACTACAGCTACGTCAACAGAGTTGATATTGAGGAAAAGAAGACATTTTATGTGGGTTTTTTTTACGTTATTAAAACTTTATAATCATTAATTAACATTAGAATTATTGTGAAAGGGTTGCTAGTATAAATATTTCTCAAGTTCCCAATATTTCGGCGTTGTTGTAAGTGCATTTATCACCCACCCGCAAGAACTTCATTAAATAATGCAAAAACTTCATTAAATAAGAATCATTGAAGTTTTTGCGGGTGGGTGTTATCGGGAACTTGTGAAAAGTAAGTGCCTGGGTAAAATTTAGGGATATAAATATAGGGACTTTTTGAAAGTTTTAGGTGAGCGATCCAGCCGATTGAAAGGTTTTCAGTTCATGAGAGATTATCGCAAAACTAAACTGCAGATGCCAATGTACATACCCTACAAATTTCCTTGAAAAGTCATAAATTCTGCAAATATATAGCGATTATGATAACGATTACGATGACGAATTATGTAATTTTTAAAGTCGTTAGGAACGAATAACCCGTCGAAAGACTATAGTTAGCATTCAACTGTCTCGTTTGACATTACCAAATCGGTTTGAAGTATTTTTCGCTTAATTAAATACCTTATTATAAATAGCGTTAAATTAACAATATCTAATATATAGAATATTACAACTATCAAATAGCTGTAGCATGAGGTTTGTGATCTTTCAATGTGATATTGAAGGGATTGTGATAGATTTTAAACTTAGAAAATTAAGCCAGGCTGTCTGCTTGTAGAATACAATGACAAAGAAATAAAGGTAAAATGGCATTATTATCACTTTAGGTACATTTCTGATATATATGATATATGCATGACTGTATTTATATATGTATGTCTGAATATACACAACGTGTAAAATACTATCTATTAATAAGTTAAATTTAGCGTAATCTTCTGTAGCGAGAATAAATTACTCTTTAGCGATAACGCTACCGATTGTAGACTACAGACTTTTCAACTAGCACTAGACTTTCTAATTTTTCATGTTAATTAGGTTGTGTAATAGTCTAGAGTAGTATAGTGGGTACTTACCTGGGTACTTACCTGCTGTGCTTGCTCGATGACTGGTGCGGCGCCGGGACCTCGGTAGGGCCGTAGCCGCGGCGCGATGAAAGGGGGTGCGACCCGTCGACCGGCTGGACGCTCCCTGTCTGCCCTCCGGGGCTGATACAGGGAGTGATGAGGCTGGTCTTCTGTGGCGCATCGACCTACGGGGGAGGGGATCCACGATAAGGGCTTAAGCCTGTGTGGATCCTCTCAACACGATGGGTAGGGGACCGGAGATTACACAGTTGCGCATCTCTGGTCTCTAGTCAGGGGCAGCTGGCCGGTTCGCGCACCGGTCGGCATCGCACGCTCCTGCCTCGTCGTGGGGGTGCGTCTTGAATGTCTCGAGGCGTATCCCCAACCCGCAGAGGGACCTGTCTTTTTCAGGGCGGGCCGAAATGGGGGCGAACCGCGCGGTGTATGGCCTTCGGGCCGATCACGCGCATCGCCTTCCATGAGAGGGACATCGCTGAGTTTTAGTGGGTAAACTTCTATTTCTTGTCTAGCCCCTTCGGGGGTGGGGCCACAGGAGGAGTCCCACATCACCCGTGGAGCCCGCGCAGGGTGAAGCGGGTATGCGCAACGCATTTCTCAGCGTCAAAAAAAAAAGTTTGTGTAATAGTCGATAAAGAATGCATTCATTCATTCTTATTTTTTCACAGACACTTAGAAGATATTTTAGGAGTCTGGTACGACATCGCATCCGATATGTTTAACAGCTCTATGTACGTAACGCCCGCACGAATACAATATCATCCAAATGTAAATATAATTTTATAATTGTTTCACTCAACTAATGATAATTTATGTTTTCCTTAAATTATGTCTTCTTCTGCTTTTATTCTTATCGTTCTCTTCAATGGACTGTTATATAATAATGAAATCAATCGAACCTGTTGAGTTGATAAGTTCAAGATTCAAAGATACAATTTACTTAACCTACGAGTCGACTACGAGTCATTTGTACGTTGAAAATCTACAGTGTACTACTTAGAATATAAAAAGCGGCTCGCTTAAGAAGCAATTCAAGTAAAAAAATAATTTATTGAATTTGACTTCAGGAAGTTTGTTAAATTCGATTTTATATTATGTTTATCGTCCATTGATTGTTCAGATTTAATTTACGGTGTAGGTGTTCAAAGACAAATTTATGAGTTTAAGTTATTTTTTCAATTAAAAAGCCACTTATTGGCAGAAAATTATTATTCGGATGATGAAAAAAAAAATGTTATTTAGTAGCAGGGATGATTAAAATAACAACCTAAACGCGAATGTGGTCAATAATGAAAAGCGCACAGCATATTACGGATTTACCTATTTTACTGTGACACATATAGATCTTTAACTATGTTTTCAGTATGTGTTTCCGAAGAACGTGAACAGGTCGCATCCATTACCAATAATGCACGATCTTTCGCTTTGGACAACGACCCATAGAATGTATGGGGGAACTTGGCTCTTTGGCACCGGCGCGGCTTACACTTGTTCGAGAGGAAGTTCTCATTGGTATTATCTCCATTGAAATTTATAATGTTTATGTATAAGTTCACGACAAGACATGATCGCGGATAGTCAAAACATGGGTTAGTGGCAGAAGTTTAGTGGGCACTCAACCCCTCCGATGAACCCTCACTTTGGCACGGGATCAGAACCGCTCCATACCTAGCCCCCAAATACAACTTCTCAGAGATGTGCAATGACTAGGATATTGTCAATCATTTCGTCTGCCCTTTTAAAATTAAGATTTAAGATTATAAACGCCCTCAATATTTCTTTTTTATAATTATTTTTCACAATAAAGAAACTGTATAATTGTTAATAATGTTCACAGAATTCGATAATATTCACAGTGTTACAAAGCATTTTTTTGTGTTAATTCAATGGTTGTGCCGACGATGCACAACGATTAATAGACAGTATAAATAGTGTAAACATAAATGTTAAAATATATTTATCTTTGGTTTTAGGTGGCAAACCCTTCCACCGACTCCTACGCCTGATGAACTAGCCTTATTAGTAGGTTACCAGTTCATAAAAGCTTTTCATAGAAATCCTTTGCCTTGGGTGAAATACGCTGTAAGGACAAGGAAGCATGTTCAACCATGCCCAAAAGTTTGTTTTATTTTTATTATGCCGTTTTTTATTTTCTAAGATACAAGTTATTTTACCGCGACTTTTCTCGCGAAAATTATAGCTCACGTCACCCGCAAGTAAAGTAGCTTCCCATAAGTGAAAGAGTTTTATGATAGGATCAGTATTTCCTAGCATTACCCCCTACAAACAAAGTAAGAGACTATACTTCTATATAGTATTAGTACAAAGGGCGACTTATTTTATAACAAATGATATTTCTTATTTATATTTGACCTGATAGTGACATGGTTTTTGTGAATGTGGTTACTTCTTTTAAAGCGAGTCGTGCTTTTTTCTTGTTCTTCTTATCAGCTAAAAGACGTCCTGGACTTCAAAAGCACTTTAAAGAAGTTTATTTGAATAAACATGTTTTATACTAATTTCCAATGAGGAAAACTTTGTTTGTTTGTAATAATGATAGGCTCAAAAAATTCTGGACCGATTTTAAAAATTATTTCACCATTCGAAAGCTACATTATCCACGTCCACGAGTAACATAGGCTGTATTTTATTTTGAAAAAAGATTGGGTTCCGTAAGATATTTGGGTTTTTCGGACACAAGGTGTATAGAAGATAGAACCATAAAATGTTCTAATTAATTGTAGATCTTATAAATACCTACAAAAAAGTCCGCGATACATTATACCTACCGAGTGAGGCACAACAACCATTTTTTTATTTAAAATCTTAACTTTTTTTGGACTGCATTTAAACGCGTTTATTTTACTCATGCTATTAATCTTTATCAAAATAAATTATTTCATCACTAAGGACAATTTATGTAGATAATATTTGGTCTTTGAATGATTAAAATTTGACGTTTGGTTTTGAAGTTATGGCGAAATTAAAATACATAAATAATAATTCTGCTGCACGGCCCGTTGCAAAGTAGGCGTCACCAAGGCAGGGGTGGGCGTGCGTGTTAGATCTATGAGTAAGGTACCCGCGCGGCTCATGTATAATTCAACACGCGGGCAAAGCCGCTGGCGGAAAGCTAGTTTCTTATATTTTCACGCGCACTATTCATTAAATGTTTGAATTTGCTGTTTGATTTATTTAATAATGATATTTAGATTATAACTTATTCCTTGAAATGATAATTAGTTAACAATTTATATCATTTCAGACTGAATGGGGATGGTTCCATTGTGTAAGTAGCACTTGGGCCCCATTAGGCTTGGACCAGGGTATGAATATGCATCGGGCAGTGGAAGGAAATAGTTGGGTGTACGATGGTTTGATTGGTATGAATTCATTGTCAATGAAACTAAGAACGATAGACATGGTACATTATTTTACCGTTCTAGATACACATTCAGTGCTGGATTTCCTTTACGATTCTTACATGGGCTATCTTCAATACGAATTTCTGGACTATAGATTTTTTGTTACCAAGGGTTGGACGTTGGAATGTAAAAATCCAGAAAACCTATATTGGAATTGGGAGTTCGGTGAACCATTTTTGGAATTAGGTAGTGACTTGCCTAATTACTGATGATACCGATGGTTGTATATTTAGAAATTAAAAAAAAAAGTTTATAAAAATAGTGTTTTTTTGGGTGCTACATGTTTCCTACCTATAATAATAATTTTTTTTATATTCGGTCCATAGATATTAAATTGGCGTTTTGTCGTACTGGCCACTTTATTCACAAATTTCTCCTCCTTGATTGAAAATTCCAAATTCAAATTTATACAGCCATTTACACATGTATTTGTGTTTCGTTAGGCGGCATTCATTTTTTTTTCTTCTGTTTCTCCTAATTAGTTTAATATAATTCTAATTTACTACTTTTCAAAACAGGAAACAGTCCCTGTTTCAGAATGGATCATGCCAAAAAAAGAAAAATCATGTTTCCTATGGATAACGAAAATATTCCGTACAAAAATTGGGAAAAGTATCAAAATAGCTTGGTCGTAGTTTCAACACAGTATTATGGACTCGTGACCTTGAACAAGTTGTCGAGAACTCGGAACGTTTCAAAATACCTAATCTCCCAGAGTGAAAATTTGTCATATGGCTCTTAAAAAATATTCGACTTTTGTTCCTCCCTTACCAAACACCAATTTTTATATGTAAGGACCTAATATAATATAAATAATAATATAACGTACTTAAACATGACACATTACAAAAAGAAAAACAAATAGAACCGATTTCATACTTTAAAAATTGATAAATAATATGGCTGGCCACCTCGTATGTAGTTCCGTTTCGTGTCACTGGTGGCGCTATCCACTGTATATTTACGTGTGAGAAAAATAACACAACAAATATGAAATATTTATGTAAATAAAAATATTCAACATATTGAAAGTCTTGGAAAAGAAGATTTTGTTTATTTGCTCTACATAATTTTTACCAATAATAATATAAAGAGAAAATATTTGATCTCTTGTTTGTTTTGTATTGAATATTCTCCGCAGCTATTGGACCGTTTTATAAAAGTCTTTCAAAATCGTTACGCTACATAACGGAAACAGCTAGTTTGATATAATTCGGGTCACAATTCAAGAAGAAATCGATAATCATACCTAATTTCATAAAAAATATATACAAACTCCTTTATCATAGAAAATCCTTCTTTCGGATTTTGAATAAATTCGAAATACGTTACATTTTGCTTTTAGCTGAAATAAACATACATTATGTATCATCTACATATTTAGTTGATATCTAGTGAAAAGTGTATTTTGTTTTATTACAAAAGAAAAACTACTGATTTGATTTTGATAAAATTTTTGATAAAACTAACAAAAAAGAATTTTAAAAATCGGTCAACAATTGGCGTAAAAAAAGATGAACACACATATAAAAACATACATCGCCGTTATGTTTTGCGCCAATATCTTCCAGGTAACTAAAATAGTAGTAGATAGAAATATATAAATAAAGGATTAAAGGGAGAGAGCACCTATACAATAACGAGAGGGATATATATTAGAAGGAAAATAATATGTACAAGTTAAAATAGTTGAAAGCAATGCTGACATCGGGCAAAGCCTTCAATCCAAACCACTAATTTAGCAATCTTCCATGCCATGCCGATTGTCATTTGTTATTTTCACTAGTGAAGAAGTATTAGTAATAGTGGTGCATCGTTGCCTGTACGAAAACCAGATTGACTGGGGCTGCACAGGGGATTTTGAAGACAGACAAGTTTTTAGGAATTTTAGAAAGAAAAGGAAGGCTTGATATGGGGATATTTTTCCAAAAGCTTGGATTTCTTTTTTAAGATATAATATGTACATATTCCCTGCATGTATGAAAGATATTTATAAATTTATGATATTGGACATAACAGGATAATCAGGATATCCAATATGCGAAGGATCATTTTACGACTAATAGCACCACTGACTACTGCCCTGGAATTGATAAACATAATAACTGTTTTGGCGTCACAGTCAGCAAACTGATGCAAGAGGCATCTGGTGTTGGCAAATTATAAACATAATTTAAAGTCAATTTTATACATGCCACTAATGGGTTTAAAAGAGAAGTAAAACACTAACAGCCAGTTGCACAAACGTACATTGCAATTTTCATTAGTTTAATAGTATATTACACATATAAATTTACATATTTAGAACGTGCACTAGTGCTTAAAATCGTCGTTAAACCTTAATGGACATTTGTGCATCTCACCGTAAAAGTAGTAGTAATTAGTTGGTACACTTAAAAAGTAAGTTTTGTTTTATAATGTGTTTTGCTTTACCAAAAAAGTTTGCGAACCGCTGAATAGCACAAACGACACATTCGACCAGACTACAGTACACACACATCAACTACGTCATCACGCACGCATACGTCAGTCTGTTGCAGCGGATTAAACAGCGCAGCAACTCTGCGAAGGTATATAGCAAAACAGTAGGTACCTCTGATTCTGACTTCTGAGAAGTAATGAAGCTGTTGCAAGAAAAAAAGTCGGACTTGCTCACTGAGAGTTCCGTACAAACTTTAAATTGATAAAAGTTCTGATAAGTAAATATCTTATATTATTTTTTTCTGAATATTAAGTTTAGGAGACGAGATGGATGTATGTTGTTTAGTTCCATATTGTATACTAGCTTTTATCCGCGACATTTTCTGCGTATACTACGTTACTCTGGGGAGCAATTACAAAAATACCGTTTTTCGTGTATCATTTCATAGTACACCTTTACGTAATTATATGAATGTACCTTTCGACGACCTCTCTACGATCATGTCCAATTATGTACTGATTGACCAGGACAATGATCTTTTAGATATTACAATCAAACGATATAGTTTTCAAAATCTTTTTTTTATTTTTTTTTATAGTAATTTTTATGTAACACTTATATCTTTAGATCATTGACTTACAAAATCACCACAAGCCATTCAATAGAGTAGTTTCTAAGTTCTTCTATGCTCACGTTATTTACTACTAATACGGACTAAAAGACAAATATTCGATCGAATTTCCTTTCAATGTATCGAACCCTAATAAGCAAAGCAAATCGAAGTCAACAAAGTGAACAATGATAAAATTCCAATCGTATGTCAAACCCACGTAAATATATGTTTTTGAAAACAAGGGCACCCTGAGAGTATAAACAATCTTTTTGTGTGTTACCATACCATGTAAAAACCGTTTTCTCAAATTTTAGGGTAAATTCTTACAGTTACTTATAACTTGAACATTTCAAATACAAGCAAGAAAGAGGTTAGATGTACACCTGTGTAACGGTGTGCCGTACCACCGTTTATTTTTCCTAGGTTTCAGCTTGCAAAATTTTTGTCTTTGATATTCAACATCATTTCATTTTTTTTTTTGTTCAAATTCATCTTTTGTAATCAAATATGCTCTTTATGAATGTCAGTTGGTAAAAAAATCTTCTGTCGTGTACATGTTATTATAAATCGTATAAATTTAAATATACAATATTATAATAATAAAGTTATCATGATTAATAGAAATGAAAAATGGAAGCCAAAAGGGGTATCTATTTGTTCTATTTAGTATTTGAATTTTATATTTATTTAAACATATGAACAGTTTTTTATTTTGGTTTTTTTTGTTTGTTACAGTTTTTTTATTTACCATTTACTTATTTACCATAAAATAAATAAATTCTCAAGCTTATTCAGCCTTTCATTAATTCGTTCAAGCATCGAACCCGACACACCTGTATGAAAAGGTCACCAGCGCTCAACATTTCCAGAGAAATACCATTAAAGTAGAGCTTATTTTTAAGAAAGAGAAGCAGGAAATGTTTATACTGCATTGGCTCAACTTTTACTATAATAATAATAAAAAAATGCTAAGATAGATCTTTAGCTTTTGCAAGTGTGTGTCTGTTTGAGGGAAAGGTTTAGTAGGGGGACTTAAGCGTTGCAACTCCTTCTCAGTGCAGAACAAAAATTTTGCCTAACGTATTAAAGCAGTAGTTTGGTTTTCTGGTAACTAGAGTTGTATTTAAAAAAATATATTACCATGACAATTAAACACATAAAGTTCATTTTCTTTAAAAGTTAAGTTCTTGAAGTAAAAGGTAGAGTTAGTTCAAGAACTTAGATCTTGTATATTCAACTTTTATTTCACAATACCAATTTATCTTTATTAAGTCAACAAAAATTAAATATATGCTTGAAAATAAAATCCAAAAATTTTAATTAGGTAGGTAAACAGCTTATTGTCAAGTTAAAATAACAAATTAATAAAACTTTATACTCACCCATTTTACATAATAATTTACAAGTAAACATACATAAATTGACATGAAAATCAACTGCAATAACTGCTCAGTACTCAAAAAGGTCACCCATGCGAAGTATCTAGGAATTATGGTGGACCAGAGACTAAACTGGCATTCCCATATTGAAATAACAATTGATAGGGTTAGAAAATTGACGTGGATATTTAAGTCTTTAAGACACATCGCAACAAAAAAGATAATAAATAAAATATATGTCGCTCTAGCACAGTCGATCATAAATTATTGCATTATAGTGTGGGGGGGGGGGGGGGGGGGTTGCTTGCAAAACAAAACACACTTCCTCGATATCGAAAGAGCTCAGAGAGCACTTATAAAGGAGATGTACTCTAAGCCGTATAGGTTCCCCAAGGAGAGCCTTTACAAATATAGCGGACTTTTAACAGTGAGAAAGCTTTATTTATTAGCTTAAATCCTAAAGTATCATAAATCACTAACATATGACCAAAGTGTAGAGAACAAGCGTATTAAAGATATTGTTGCTCACTCACATTCTATTCGCACAGTTTTTGTTAGATTTTGCTAGATGTCAGTATAATTTTCAATCTGTGTATGTATATAATAAAACAAACCGTATACTTAAGATGTATCCATTTGTAATTGGCTAAAAAGCTTAACCTATGAAGACATAGAAAAATGACTTATCGGGATAAGCTAACACAATATATGTAAAACATTTGCGTAAACACACACACACACACAACCTCACACACAAACACACACACACTGGATTCACGTAGGTATCACCTTACCTTATTATTAACATCTAAATATATCGTGTAAATAATAAAATCAAAATTTTTATGAAAACTTGTATGAAATCTTTGATAGACAAGGGGAAGTTGCGAGTCATTCCCATAACGAGTGTCTTTGATAACTCATTGGGAAGTAATAATGTGGGGAATTACAATACTACAGAGTTTTTGTGCTACTTGGGATTCTCGAACTCTAACTTTAAGTTCGGTAATTATTCAACATAAAATTGGGTATACCAAATAATTTAATACGTATTACATTTTGAAGTTAAACTGGTAAATTGATATAGTACAATGGCAACTCTACGTTACCACCAAGGAATATACACAAGGCGGGGTATAAATGCATTTACCCGATTGTTTTCATTTAGTTTTCACTAAAACATGGAGATCTCCTATAGTGTATTGTTATGGTAAGTAATTCATTTATTATGTTTGATCAATTTCGTATTCACAATGCTATATTCAAGAATATTCTTAATGAAGAATGCTTAAAAACTCAATCCACTTTGTCACATCTCAGAGTCCAGTGACAAAGTGGATTTTTAAGCCCTTTTTCATTAAGAATATCTTTAAGTAATTAATTTTTAACTGTATAAAAGTACTTGTCCTCTCGAGCCAACTGTTTAAATTTTTGAATGATTATAATGTTTCAAAATTAAAGCTCCCTAACTGACGATCAGCGACTAGCCCAAATTAATGTATCAAGGAATTTGATTTTTTTTTGACTAAGGGCTGACGCTAACTGATGTCCCGCTCTAAACGGTAAGTTATAAAAGGGCATGTTTCGGCAGCTCGACGGACGTTTTGTTGTGGCACGTCATACTTGGTTGGTTGTGTCGTTATGATCGAGTCGGATACTAACAAGAGTTTCTTGCTCAAGATGAAGAAAGTACAATAATAACTGATACTGGGTATAATTTCCAAACAATGATTTAATTTATGTAAATAGTAGGGGGTGGGTAGATCAGATAGACCCTAAGTCGGAAAATTTTATTCAATTCATACTGTTTGGCAAAATCATGAAATTAGTGTCTCTGTATTTTGACTTCACTGACTGGACTACTGAGTGAGCAACTTTCTCAAGGGTTGGTTACGGGATGGGTAACCAAAAATTATCATTTCGAAAAGCACGTTAGTCTCAGTTGCATTTGCAGTCATTAACATCCTCCAATCCGCATTACGTCAGCGTGTAGGGTCAAGGAAAACTGAGCCTCTACAGTGGGGACGTAAAAGGGCTGACGATGATAATGACAGGACAACTAGAGAAAGTAATATTTAATTTATATATATATATATATATGACATGGACAAAGTGATTAATTTGGCATTATAAATAATACATGCACATTATGAAAAATGCCCATTATGCCCACTCATAATGGGCATTTTGCAAACTATAAAATAATCAAATAAGTTAGAAATTTAAGACAATCGCAAAGGGTATCTATCGATCGTCATATGTATAATAAATCTTTATCACATTGTCCGAACAACATATGGCATTATTCATGATGCCCGGGGCAGTGTGAAAAATTATAATAATCTGTTTTGCCTTTATATCTTTGTTTCATAATGCTCGGGAATTATAAATAATGTCCTAATTTTTCACTTGGGCCATAACACACACATGGGCTGTTTTCACACGATTTTGGCCATGTAAATAATAGCCGCATATCATGATTACTCCCTACAAACAAAGAAAGCTCAGAAACTTAATCACTTTCTAATATTAGTATAAATATAGGCTTTGATGGTTTCGGTTATTTAATAACAAATTATTCGTGCTAAACTTGCAGTTCCATTATCCGACTTTGGGCATTATCTCGAAGCACAGTCCACAGTTGTTATATCAAATTAAATGAACTCGATGCTTCTTTTAATTATAGAAGTCGCATTATAATTTTCTAGCTGTATTATAACATCAGCTCAATTCCATCATCATCGGTCGTTTTACGTCCCCATTGCAGGGGATTAGGCCTTCTTTATAGGATAGGATAGTTAAGGAGGATAGCTCGGTGGCATAGTGGATAAGCGCTGCGGCCCGCGATCGTTGTCGTCAAGCAGCTTTCGCAAGGGATGGGTGACCAAAAAATTATTATCTCGAGCTACTCCGTGCTTCGGAAGGCACGTTTAGCCGTTGGTCCCGGCTGCATTTGCAGTCGTTAATACCCTCCAATCCGCATTGGGCCAGCATGGAGAGTCATGGCCTATCCAATGTGAGGAAAGTAGGGTATTAACGACTGCAACTCAATCGAGGGTTAAAGAGGAAGAAAAAAGCAATTTTAAAAATTGGTATACAACGGACTTAAATGACCATTTATAGTATTGGTCCATAATTTTATAATTACTGTTCCTCTATGATATATTAAGAAAATTTCATTTACCTCAACTTCTGAAGATTTGTAATCTAGGACCACGGAAGTTACATCAAACGCCCATTCAATGTTAATAAAAATATATCACCATATACTAAACCGCATATAAAATTAAGAAAATCTTACACAATTAAATACAATGAATAACTAAATTTTAAAACGTTTTAATTTTAAATTGTTCGTAATATTAATCAAAAATCAATTTAATAAGTTCTTGCCTAAGATTATGTTATTATTTTGTTTTCATGTTGCTAAAGCTCTTTACATATTGCAATGCTCTCGTAGGGCGTCACATGTATCCTATAATTTAATTATATCTCATTGTTTGTAACGTGGTATGCAATAAATATTTTGAGTTGATTTGATTTAGTTGGTAGTGTATTGAAAACATACGGGTCGGCCGTTTTAATAAAATTTTATTATCACGTTGAATAGAATAATGATGATTGAATTTTATATACTAAACAGGTTACAATGTTTGGCTTTAGTACACGCTTTCATACCGAAGTGGGCCTACTATGATTGGTACTGGTACGTCGCAGACTACGAGAAGACAGACATAGATCCTGAGAGATACACATCACCACTTCCCAAGCGGGTAAATGGTACTAGGGAAGATGTACCAAGTCCGTTGGATACGCCAGATTATAGACTGGAGGAAAAGCCTTACTACAGATACCATGAGTATTTTCCATGGGAAGAAGAACGCCCTTATCGAATGTCACCATTCTACAAACAAATGATAAGAATGTACCAGGTGGTATGTAGTAAATGGCATTACAATAAATATCACACACATTACTCTAATTCCAAGATGAGTAGCTAAAGCCTCCGTATTGTGGAGTATACAACACCCAGACCCGAATTTGAAACAACGAAGGTACCACAACATCCAGACCCAAACTATATAGAAAAGTTCATTTTCTACATTGATCCAACCGGAAATGGAACCCGGGACCTTAGTGATGGCGACATCCTGTAAACGCCATGCGAACTACTTGGCTACGGTGGTCGTCCATATAAAACGTATGCTTTCGAATAATACGTATGTTTTTTTTTAATATTTGATTAATTTTGCATTCATAATGTTATATTGGAAAATATTCTAAATGAACAATTCTCAATAATCAACCAGTCCCATGTACTTCCTTCCTTCCCATGGACATGGGACTCGAACCCTTTGACTTTTCTCTGTTTGTGTATATTACCTACATAATGATGCTTGAAAATTCATCAGTCCTGTTAGATCCTGGATAACTCAGTGGTTAGAGTAGTCGTCCAGATTGCGAAAAGTCGTGGGTTTGAGTCCCATTCAAAAGAATGCCTGAAGCTGATGAGATTTTCAAGCATTTTTTATTAAAATAATTATTATTTTATTTATTTAAAATGTTTTTTTTTTTAATTCAAGACAATATATAAACTCTGGTGCAGCAGGTTTGACTTATTTTACTTCAGGTCTGAACTTGTCATCGGCCGAAAAACTTAAGTTATTTGGTCAAAGTATAAATAAGTTAAGTTTTTCAGCCTTCGAATTATTTTTCTATGTCTAATCTAGGAGAGACTAATTTAGACACAACGTCGAAACTTCATTTCTTAAAGTTGAGGTTTAAACAGCCAGACCGTGGAATTTTTTATTTAGTTAAATTAGGTATTATAAAACGATTTTTTTATCGTTTCAATATTACAATATTTGATTGACAAATCTGAAAAAATACTTCTTTAAATACTTATATTTATTCCTAGCTTGTTGTTTTCCCGCGATAACTCCTACATAAATTATACCCTATGTCACGTGTGTATGATGTACATTATTTTGCTTTAGATATTTGACTAAAAAGCTAATAATTACTTTTAAGTTTACTAGAAATACTTAGTTTAAGGCAAAAATTGTAATTATCGAAGGGCTTTAATCAAGCCTAAGACAAACCAGTCATTCCAGGGATAGGCAGTATCGATCTTTGACTATAACCACTTTATATCAACCCTTTACTTTCTTCAATGTACATCCTCATATCTTATTGTGCCTACAATAGAAACTAGGAAGTTCTAATTAAAAAAGGTTGTACAATACGTGGTGATAAGACACTGAATATTTATTTTAAGGAAAATCCGTACATTATGGGTTGTACATGCACTACAGTGTTCAAGAAATTGAGGGTTTTGGCCACGTGTGCTGTGCTGACGAGAAGACATGTACTAACTACAGCTACGTCAACGGAGTTGATATTGAGGAAAAGAAGACATTTTCTGTAAGTTTTTAGCATTATTATCTCTAGGAGATTTTTCTGCGCATGGTTTAGGTAAAACCAGTGTTGTTAGGGGCAATCCCTGCTGGCTCCCACGATCTTCCCCAAAAGTGAGGGTGCATCGGAGGGGGTTTATTGGGTGCGTCATCCACGTTTTGACTAGCCTTCGAGCGGGTCCATGGGGATGGAGAGTTCTACACACCCCTGTAGTCTGCTAAGCGACAGTGCATAAAGCATTTCTCCTACGACACAAAAAAGTAAGATATCCAAGCAATCAAAAAGCACAGTTTCAGCTCACGAAGGTTTCACGAGAAAGGGACATTTATTTTTTCCGAAATTTAGTTGTTTTTAAGAATCTTATGTTTTTTTTTACAGACACTTAGAAGATATTTTGGGAGTCTGGTACGACATCTCATTGGATACGTTCAACAGCTCTATGTACATTACGCCAGCGCGGATACACTATCATCCACGTGTAAATACAATTTTATTATTGTTTTATTGATATAATAAATGCTTATTGTAGGTTCTCCGGAGGTTCAAAGTAACTAAAACAATATAACTTTTTAGTGACGGCCCTATTTGAAAAGTAGCGACTTGATCTAAGTCACGTTGTGCTAATACTAGAACAAAATATTTTCGGTCATCTGTTAAGCTTAAATTTCACGCTTTGTCATATGTATACTGAAGTTTAGTCTCTGAATATATTTAAATATGGCAGCACTGCTTTCATTAGTAGGCAGACCCGTTTCCTCGGTTTTCAGTCAAAATATGTCGTGGCATTGGCACGTGCTATGAGGAGAAGCTACTTTAATTTATTTAAATCTGTAATCTTTGTTATTCACTTTTAGACAATTTTTTCTTTTTTACATACAAAGAAATGCATTTCATGTAAACACTATAATTTTTCCCATAATTTTGTCAATATCAATGTAATATTTGGTGATATTTTTTTTGTACTAATACTACTACAATGTGCGTTTATAGTTTTTTGATGACGTGCTTTTATATTATAATACCAGTATTCTATCTATTATAATCTATATAAGCTATGCGACTCTGGAATGTACTGCCTTTCCATATACAAGCTACTCCAAATAAACTTGCCTTCAAACGTCTACTGCGCTAGTCTAAGCTTAAATACATAAATAATTATTTTTTGTATTAGTATAACAACACTGTCACATGAGCACACGTCTCGATGACGGCCCCAACTAAGTCGCAAGGTAACCAAGGTCACCTTGGCCGGAGCTCTAGTTGGCGACAGTGTGAAGACTACATTAGGGTCACTATTTCTATTAGCAGTAGATGGAATTCTCACAGAACCAAACCACTCTAAGATGGTCTTAGTGCAATATTACAATAGGGAAGATGACTAGGATTCTGTTTAGTTGTTTTAGTTAAAAAAACTATTTAGTCCGACAGTCAGATAATACAAAAATATTAGATGCACTGTATTTTTTTCTGCTTCAATTCAATGAGAAATGGCTTATATGCTCAATACTCAATATATTAATTATATTCATAAGTAATATATGATATGTAGATAATAGAAAATGTACAAACACATGTCACATAATGTTATGTGACATTTTAAATTAATGTATCGATGTAATCTATTGACATCGCTTAAATTAAAAAAAAAATCATTAAGAATATTTTCAGTATAGCATCGTGAATGCCAAATCGATCGAATATAATAAAACAATACGTGTTTGATATTATTCATTTATCTACCTAACGACAAACAACAGACAAAATAGTCTTTCTTTTTAAAAACAAGTTACATTCACATGTTACATTTTTATCTTTCATGTGTTTTCATAAATTATTGGATCTAAATATAGGAAATAAATTAAATGTTTATATACATATTAAATTATATTTTCAGTATGTGTTTCCGAAGAACGTGAACAGGTCACATCCATTGCCAGTAATGCACGATCTTTCAGTTTGGACTACAACCCATAGATTGTATGGGGGAAGTTGGCTGTTTGGCACTGGCGCGTCTTACTGCTGTAGCAGAGGAAGTTCTCATTGGTAATAACTTCATTTAATATTCTTAATAAAACTGCTTAAAAAATACACTTTGTTTCTGGCACTCTGAGATGGGACTTGAACCAATGACCTTTCGGAATCCGGGCGACTGCTATAACCACTGAGCTGCCGAGGACCTAACAGGACTGGCGAATGTTTCAAGCACTTGCTACTTTTTCGCTACTATAGATGAAAAATAAGATGGGAAGTGGGCAAATTCGAGTTTCAAGATTTGCTCATTAACAAACATACTAACATACAAAGAAGACGAGTTAAATTAAAGCTTGTAATAAGCTTTGCTGAATAAAACTATAATCTCCTTTATCGATTGTATTTTTATTACTTTTTGATCAATTTTTCATTAAGTATAATATTTTTCTTAATATCGCTTTGTACACGTATGTTTTTTTCATATGTATATCTGTAGCTGTTTCTATATACAGCAAAATTATTTATTTTGCTTAATTGATTTCCTAAGAATACCCACTCAAGATGAAACATCTTTTTTACTAAATATGTAATAATCAGTGTTGGAAGTTGGAATTCTCCTCCAACCAGGGTCCCTATCTGGCTGGCATTTTGCAACATTCCACTGTGTAGTTACGCAACTGGAACACAATGTACAGCAACGACTGTTAAAACTTTTTTTTAATAACGTAGGGGAAATTCACTCTAAGCCTTAAACTAGTGTCGCCTTAAACTAGAGTCGCCTTAAACTAGAGTCGTCTTAAACTAGTGTCAAGTTCCGGCAAAAAAAATGAGTTTCGGTTTCGGTGGCATACCTACTGAAACATGGCCGAAACTGCATTCTCGCGCTGTGATTGATCATATTTGGCGAAGAAATTTATGGTACTAAAATGACTGATCGGCCATATTGTCGTTGCCACGTATTGTAAATGTGTTTTCGGCTGCTAGTTCTATGTTATATTAGCCGGCGTGATTTCAAGATAATAAAAAAAGAGATTGTTTATGAAAACGGGGTCTTTATTTATCCCTTAAAATATGATCTTTGTAAGGAAGTTTCGATGTCGGTTTCGGTTGGAAAAACCAGTTTCGGTCGGATACTACCTTGAACTAGGGCTTCCCAACCGCCCCATCCTGAAAAGGGCAACTTAATGTGGAAGGACTACCTAGTAAAATCCACTGCGGTTCAATTCACGCGAATAAGAGGAACCCGGTATCCTGTAAGCAGGGCCCGGGACAACTGTTTAACTTGGCTCAAAATATGATAAATATTAAGACATATTCTCTTTGGTTTTAGGTGGCAAAGCGGTGCACCGACTCCCTCGCCTAATGAACTAGCCTTATTAGTAGGTTACCAGTTCATAAAAGCTTTTCATAGAAACCCTTTGCCTTGGGTGAAGTACGTGATAAGGACGAGGAAGCACCTCCAGCCATGTCCAAAAGTTTGTTTGGTTGTTTATTAGGCCTATATAAATTATTCATTATCATCAGTCTATTAATATTACCGCTATTGGGACTCGGGCCTACCCTGTGGATAGAATTGAATCAAATAGAATAGGGTAAATGGACCTTGATCCACCACGCGGGTGCGCGTGTGGGTGCACATGCGGGTTGGTGTGTGTTAATGACTGCAGATGCAGCCGGGACCAACGGCTCAACGTGCCTTCCGAAGCACGAGGGAGCTCGAGATTATAAATTTTTAGTCACCCATACTATGAACGTCCACTGCAATAGTTGCTTAACAAGCGTTTCGAGCTGGTCGCGCATGCGTGCTTATTACTCGCTAGTGAGTACGCATATCGATATTATTTAGTTATAGATAATTATAATGTTTTAGATATAGTAATTGTATATTGTAAATAAATATAAAATAAGAAATGTATATATAAAGGTATATATAGTTAGTAGTAAATTAGAAAGTAGCCTAAAACGAAAACCTCAAATTATGTTTAAACATTTTTATTTTTACGATTTTAAGAAAATAATAATCATCATTATCAGCCCTTTAACGCCCCATTGCAGGTGCTTGGTCTTCTTTATGGATGGTTAGGAGGGATGCTCCACGCTGGCCCAATGCGAATTGAAGGGTATTAACGACAGCTAACGCATTTCAATTCAGCTTAATCGAGGGTTGCCTTTCGAAATTTACTTAAAAACAACTTATCTCTATACTTAGCCTCTACGCCACCGAACTACTGACAATAATAATATAAAGAAAAACATTATACATACACAATACTTTGTTCTCGATGAATAATATCATGTTAAAAGTAAATTAAACGGTAAAAATTTTATCTTTTCAGACTGAGTGGGGATGGTTTCATTGTGTAAGTAGCACTTGGGCCCCATTAGGCTTAGACCAGGGTATGAATATGCATCGGACATTCGAAGGATCAAGTTGGTTGTACGATGGTTTGATTGGTATGAATTCATTGTCAATGAAACTAAGAACGATAGACATGGTACATTACTTTATCGTTTTAGATACACATTCAGTGTTAGAATTCTTTTACGATTCTTACATGGGTTATCATAAATGGGAATTTCTTGACTATAGATTTGAGGACACGAAGGGTTGGACGTTGGAGTGTAAAAATCCGGAGAACCTATATTGGAATTGGGAGTTTGGCGAACCGTTATTGGAATTAGGCAGTGATTTGCCTAATTACTGATGATATTCTATTTTTTAAATCCACTCTTCACAGAAGTTGATTAATAAATCCAACTCCGGTTTGAAACATCTTGTGCGAAAGTGCATTCGATTCGACTGTTGAGTGACAACTAGTGATGTCGTACATCTGGAAATATCGCTACTGCCGGAAGTTTTCCATTCTCAATCTGCTCGGCAAACTACCAAGCACTTTAGGAATATCGAGTTTTTGTCGTGTTACGTATGGACGACATATTTATTTAACAACAGTTTAGAAATCGAGAAGCTTTTCATCACCAGAACCAGTGGATATATTAGAAGAGGTTCACTGGCTATTTGCATAAATTCTTAAGACAAAATATCTCGTGCGTGTCATATTTTTAATTATCGTAATTATAATTATGCATAATTTTAACTGTATCTTTCAAGTCATTTTCAAAAGAGAGGACAGTTTCATTATTCTTACATATTTATACTGGGAAAAGAAATAAACTTACAACAGAAAGAGCAAGGAAATCTGCTGTATAACTCATAATTACCGTGAGAACTTCATTGGTATTTTTGCTGGCAACAATCTGGAAATATTACTGGGAATGCTGCCGGAAAGTTTGGCAATTTTTTGAGAATTTTCGTTATTGACATTTTAACGACTGCTTTTGTTTCCATAGATTAATCATGAAGCACTTTAAATATTAATAAAATATACAGAAAATTAACCGAATACTCCTAGTTAATTCCCCGTTCAGGAATGCTGGCAATATTTCCAGTAAAATTTCTTGTCTTTGGCAGTATACCAGAGCACGGTACATCACTAGTGACAACTGCTGACTGAAATAAATGTCATGTAAATATGTTCTGTGCAACCGCTCCACAACCACTATACAGTTAGGTATTGTTATATCGCCATCTGATTTTGTAACTAATATAACAAGATCATCAACAAGTACATTAGAATATTTTTTTTATTGTTAATTATACACAATTTCCGTTATTAGGCGCTTTTATAACTTTTATAATTTTTGTGATTATAATAACGCGAACGTACACGCATTGAACTACTATTTACATAGAATCGGCGTATCGAACAAATAATTTGCGCACTGAGTTGATGCCGGCCGGCATCAACGCAATCAGTCATTGTTTTCACTTCTCACTGACTGGTCGTGTCCCGAAGTCGCGAAAACAATACTTAAAAATGCCTTCCTGTGTGTTAAAAACATGCAAAAATGATTCCACTGCAAATAAAAAAGATAGTGGTGTGACTTATCATCGGTAAGTAAACAAATTATTAATTAAATCCAACCAAAACTATTTACAATATTTTTTACATTGTCCACATTGAATTGTCCACCATTTTATGCAATAATCATAGATTATGAAAGTGTAAGGTGTACAGATAGGACGCGTAAGTACAATTGGTTAATGAATCATATTATGAGACTGTGTCAAGCCGATTTCGGGAATTATTTACAGGATATACTTTCAGATTGGTCTAATTCCTAGGAAATAAATGAAGCATTTACATTAGGATATTTTTTAAATTAGTGTTTGGTTTTCTAAAAAAAATATATTTTGTGAGAGTAACGTGGAGTAACGATCATTGGTTTTTTTTTACTTTACTAATAATATAATAATAATAATACTACGTAATATTTTTTTTATATGCGACTAATTCGAATAGTTGTGTAGGTACAAACACCAAAGTTATGTGGGTGTCACTTCTGCGTGTTAATCCATAGGAGCAGCATAAGCTTACAACAATTTGAACAAAACGCGTAACCGCCATGAAATTCACGGCGTTTACGACATTTTGGTCGCAAGAAAAATGTAATCTCTAAGCAGTATTGCGCTGTACGTTTTTAAGTTTTTCTAAACGATATACGCTAGATTAAGCGCTGCAGCGCGACAAATGTCCGCTGTCATCAAGATGTGACATCTTTTTTCTTGGATATAGCATCTCTATACGTAGTAGTATTAGCTCAATGCGTACACGGTACGGAAATAACCCAAAATAATTTATATAGAAATTACATGAAGACATTTTTGTTGAGATCCTTTGACAATTTGACGATTTTGAACGTGTCCCTTCTTTTAAAATGTTGAGTAATTTTTGTGATGTGGTGCATAGCTAAAAATAAAATTTAGCTTCTTTAGAATAGAAATAAAAGACATTTAAAGAAAAGCAATTCCTTGAAAATTATTTAACTAAAAGACTTCACTTAAAAAGTTTATTTTTGACTTTTATCTCGCCCACGAAGATACATTGATACATCGACGAACAGAATTACAACAAAAATGGATGGATATGCAAAATAAACACGATAATATGACGTGTTGAATTAAAAAATTCGGTATCATTAAAAAGTTAAAAGTTTAAAGAAGATAACTCCTAATTCAAATTAGGAAAATGTGTGATTTTCATTTGATTTCTAACTGTCAAAATGAGTGAATCTAATGAAGAAATTTTACATTTTAAATTCATTAAAATTTTATCCAAAACAAGGCAAAATGCAACGAATGCCGCGAAAAAAAATTGTGACGATTGTGGACCTAGTGCAGTTTCTGTGAGAGTATGACAAATTAGAATTTTCATATAAATTGCGAAGAAACTGTTCCCCAACTTATTATTAATGTAATGTTCTTATTATGATTAAAAGAACATTTTTTTTTAATAATTCAAACATTCTATTGATTACTTACTAATGTAATGAGGCAACAGTGTAGTGGCAGTTAAACTTTACGATGAATTACACAATAGAGATAAAGTAGGTATTTAATTTCAAAAGAATCTTGAATGATTTTTTTATTGCAAAATAACTACCTACTGTCTAATAGAAGAATTGTTTACATAACTTAGATTTAATAGTTATACTATATTTATTTTACTTATAAATTTAAAATACAATTTGATTCATTTTATATTATTACCAGCATTAAAAACTTATCATTTACTAGTGCCTAGTTTAAGTTTTATTAAAGAAAATGTTATTTTAGTTAGGATCAAAACTGTGATTTTAATATTTTATTATAGCTTTAAGGATTCATGTACACACTGCTGCGCGTCAGGAAAAAGACGCACCACAATATGTCTTTTCCTAGTTGATTTTAAACTCTACCCTCAGAACGATGAGGTTTAAAATCAAGTAGAGTGACGGAATTGTATAATATGACGTGCCGTTTACATGTTACAGGAAACTCAAAAAAAGTGTAAAAATAAAAAAATATAGCTTTTTCACCATTATGAAAATATTAAAAACCACTAACTTAGTATATCAAATATAATACGAAAATAATAAATTAACGAACAAACGCATGGCCGCACGTCACGCCACACACTACCACCGTAAGCACACCTCCGTTAGTAGGGAAGTTCAATCGAAAGTGGTCGGTACAAAGTCCACAATGTATAGTCTGACGTGCAGACATATGTACATAGAATTATTTTATAAATTAAAAACCTACTACTTGTCTAACTAAATATTCATATTACCAACATCCTTAATTGTAAAAAAGCGTTTTTTTGGATATTATACAATGATCTAAAAAGCACAATAAAAGTTTTATTGTGGGTTCATCAAGAAATACCATAAAACAAAATTATAAGCGTAATTATTGCATATATCATAAATTTTATTCTACACTTAACTATTGTAAATTAATGTTACATAAAAACAGTTGTTAACATATATCGATATGTGGTGATATGCATTGAGTTCATTCAATTGTTTCGTATACGTTAAATTATGACTTTAATAAAACATACGCAGAAATTTTTGTGTTTTAAGTAACTCTACTCCTCTATTTTTTATATCGACCATAGACTTAAAAAGTTTAGTGATACAAAATTAGGCCAATGACTAATCGTTGCAATGGCTAAACATTGGAGTTTCTTTAAAAATTTCAGTTCGATCAAAAACTGGTATTAGGTCATATATACCATGCAATATTGAGGAGTTCGATAGCGCAGTGGTTATGTTAAGCAACTTTCGCAACTGCTGATCATACAATGGACCTCCCCGACTGTCTGGGAGGAGGCTCTGATGCACACGAATTTTTTTTGAGTTGAGCCCAATTCGATTTCTTGTTGCTTGTGTCCTAGCGGTGATATTTAGAGGCTGGTTAAGAAAGCTACATTTAAGCTTCACTAATAAATAACACGTTAAGCTATTTAACTTTTAAGATGCTTCTCGAAAACAATGCTTACGCTTACCTGAATCAACAGAGCTGACATGGGAAACGTGATGTTAATTTTGTTGCAAGTCTCTATACCAAAAAGTATACTCCTGTACACGATAGGTAGTAAGTTTGTTGTTTTAATTTAAATCTTTTATCGTAGTTATTTGTGTGTGTGTGCAATTCCGCCATTTGAGAGACTGAATTTACCTAACTGTATGGAACGTACATAGCATTATGTGGCCCTAATTTACAATTTTTTAGTAAAAAACTATTTTTATAAAAAACAAGTTTTATTAGTTGTGAGTAAAACATATTACATTAATCTAAAATAAATAGTTACAATGATAAAACATGCTAATAAATTATTAACAATAGTTCTTCTAATGTCCTAATGACTGAATGGCTATAAACTAAATTAAAAAGTAATATATAAATAATTCCGTTCCCAAAAAACTTTATAAGTCACTGGAAGCAATAGTTTATAAAGTTGCTTATGCTTTTTAACGTAATATTTACCTTATAATATTTAGATCGAAAATTTCTATCAAATACTAACAAGATAGAAAAACCCACCCATAAATAGATTTATTTTAAAAGAAACGTCTATTAAGAGTTAATAACGAGTATGCTCTAATGAATGTTCTAAATTTGAAAATTTGTATCAATAATGTCACTTCAAGTAATACGATTTTAATGGACGTTTGTGAAACTGGAGGGCTAGAACAGGTTTTTAAAGTTATGGTATAATCAGAAAAACAGGACGCGGGAGAGAATGTTGCATTATTATTGTTATAAGAAAAATATAAGTTTCATATTTGCAAGGTACTAACTTTAGACTAGTAGAATATTTTATAGATTCCTATATAGGCAATGTGCGTATCTAAAGTAATTTATTATAGTACATGACTGCGTTACTATAGTCTAAATGCTGCGACATTTGCTGTGAATAAAATTGACATTTTGGCTTAACTTTCGCCGGGGATTATGCCTGCGTTATCATATAAATAATAGCCATTTCGATTCAACTTACGTGCCGCGCATAAATTATAATATATGCACGGCACATATGTCATATTATTACGCAGCCATAATTACCAGCAGACTACAATACAAATATACACCGAATCCCTTGCTATCGGGTTTCTGAATTGAGAATAGACAGTACAAAATCTCAACTTATTATTATCATTAACTTAAGTATTTTTACGTTTCACAAGCAGAAAAGTCCTAGTTTATACTAAAAACTAAAATCTGAAACGAAAATCTGTTTCAATGATGTTTAAGTAAATTTTGAGACGTTCTTAACTGTTCAATTTACAAACCGAGTTATGTTTAGTTTTTCGTCGTGTCTTTCTAAGTGAGAGAAAACAACAACCCAAAGTCCTACTAATATTATAATGGTCAATAACATAATAAGGTTTTTATGGTTTGTACAATACTATTGGTTTTAAATAACACAGAACATGGGTATAACTTAAATAGAAGGTGGATTTCTAATTAACTAAAAATTGTGACTGAAAAATATGAAGAGTAAAAAAAGGAAATCGGCAAAGATGAAAATATAAATACTATGATAGCAGGATAAAAGTTTAAAATTGTCCAGGCACGATCATTCTAGTACCTCACAAAAAGAAATAATTGTCGTTAAGATTATATGCATCGTATATAAATTTTCTACTTTAAAATATCTTAGTAGAGGCTCGCATAACAACCTACTTACTAATAAATACATGAAGGAAATAAGAATTTATATCCATAAATCCATTGAGTGTTTATCTTGCTATGCTTGTTACTACGACTAATTTTACTCTTTGATGGTTTTTTTGAGTTGATCCAAAATTATATCATTAACTTTAATGTTTACATAATATGAATTGTGTTTATTTATGTAATGTGTAGTTATATTCGATAAATATTCGTTTTAGATAGCAGGTGGGTACATAATTTTATTGGTGCATAAAAGACAAGTTTGGATTGACGAATTGATAAAAAAAAGTCAAAAGCAAGCGTTTTTTATTATTTTTTTAAATGTAAAAAACACATGTTTTTGAATATAATGTTCGTCAGTACAAACCCAGTGTAACATCAACAACTTAACATTTAATACAACTAGGTTTTGGACTTAGCTGCATAATAAATAACCTAATGTAGGTACCTATTAGTTTAACAATTTTAATTGCTAAATAAATGCAAAGACGCATGTTCATATTTTTTTAGAATTTATAACAAGTTCATGAACGAATAACGATGCAAAGTAATTTTTACTTTGTATTTTGATATTAAAAATAATTAGAGATATTTTTTTTTATTTGCTGTAATCAATATTGCAATGAGGATACAACGCTATGCAGTCTTTGTGTTCTTGTCCATCTCTCGCGGCTTGAACGTAGTTGTAGTAGAGCAACGCCATCTTGCTGTCAGCTGGTGGGACTAATTCACTGGAGTCCCTGTATCAGAAAAGGGTCGTTTTTGTCAAATTACGGGATGCGAAATTATAAGTTATTGTTTGAACAACAAAATTTTGTTGTCAGAAATGTAGATCATAGGCAGGCATATAGTAGCTCGGTGGCGTAGAGGATAAGCGCCGCGGCCCGCGATCGTTGTTGTTAAGCAACTTTCGCAAGGGTCGGTTACGGAATGGGTGACCAAAAAATTTTTATCTCGAGCTACTTCGTGTTTCGGAAGGCACGTTAAGCCGTTGGTCCCGGCTGCATTTTGCAGCCGTAAATACGCTCCAATCCGCATTGGGCCAGCGTGGAGGGTCATGGCCCATCCTCCTTAACCATCCATAAGGAAGGCCTGAGCCCCTGCAGTGGGGACGTAAAAGGACGTACGTTATAGATTATTTCGAAAATGATCTTATTTTCGTTATCTATTGATAGATGGTCCTTATTCTTAGTTATATAAATACAACAAAGATGAAATTAAAACTGCTATATTTTTTAAATTAGGATGTTTTACGCTAGAAAACTATGCTCTAGTAACTAGGCTCCAATATTACTATAACCAATCACGTTCAACCATAACAGGCATCTATAGTGCGTAATAAACGTGTAAAAGCCATTTTAATTTGACATATCACACTAGTGATTGACATGAAGTTATTTATCGTACTATCGATATCGAAAAACAACAAGTCGATTGATTGTAAGGATACTAGAGTAATGATTCCTTTATATTGTTTTATTTAATGTATATACATTAAATTTTATTGATTAAATGTGACATTATATTTTTTTAGATATTAATTGTTAATTAGTTGGTTGATTCAATAAGGAATAATTAAATTACTCATTACTCATGATCATGAACTAACATTGAAACTGTACTAGTCGAGGTTAAATAGTTATTTGCATATAAATATGTTTGTTTATTAATAATAATAGTAGGTCATTTTTTTTACGTTACGTTACTCGATTTCGTATCAAATAAACAGATAAGATCGGCAACATCGCTTAAATGAAACTAGTAATATTGACAAACAATATAATGTAAATAAATATATACAAAATAAAAAAATACAATTAGTACAATAGATGCTATTAGAACTTACCCCGAACGGTTTTCGATGATTTAAAACGAATTGTTGTTAATGGTCCAAAATAAAAAATGATTATTTCTGTTACAATATTAATAATATAAAAACAGACTTATTACCACACTCATTATTAAATAAATATACAAATGCATACCAAACGGAGTCAATTTGGTAGTCTGGAATACGGTTATATTTTATTTATTGCTATTGTTAATCTCTGAACAAATTAATCTTTTTTTACAAATACTTTTATCGTCCTTACTTTTATTTAGTTTTGACTAACACACAAAGAATCGATTAAATGTTTCATGACACTTCACTAGCGATCTACCGTAATCTATTATGTTACTATTAAGAACGGTGATTTCGCGATGTTCTTTACGTTACGTGCTTAGTATGACGCAATGTAATAAATATGCGTACTTTTCTAGCAATGTATATTTTATTAGAAATATTTTTTGTGATTCACACTTGATAACATTTCATGAATTATGACTAAAAATTCTAAATTTGAGAAGTATTCTACTTACTAATAAAAATAAATCCCCCCTTTGGACCTACTTGAGGATTGGCTTCTTGTTTTGCAATTAATAACCGCGCAAGCCGGCATTTTTAACACTTTTAGTGGCGTGTTTCACAGTACTTACAGCGCGCGCGTTCGCTAATGACTAAACATCGCGATCGCGTGGTGAAGTCACGATCCTGTACATTTGTCCAGGATCATGGCTACACGGCCACGCCCACTAGGCCTTTCTAACGTCTTTATGTGTTCTGTGACTTATTCACACCTAAAGTAATTTTCTCGTCAGCCAATTCATATATACATACTAAATTTCGGCTTGATCGAAGTTTAGGTAGAGCAAATTTAGCTCAAAATTGACCCACACTAATATGGCAATTAAATAAAAGATTTTGTACTCACTTGCTCAGCTCATTAGAGACTAGATTGCTGTAAGGCGTATGTCGGAACGGGTCCCTATATAAAGCACACACGGCCCTGTTCCTACACCCAGGGTCTGCTGCTCCAATAGAGCCAAGGATTTTGTCTACTTTCTCTAATAGCGCGCCGTAGAATTTCTCAGCTGTGACGGTTTCCTATAAAATATATATAGACACATATAAAATAATTGTGACCTGATGTGTATCTGGTATGTAAGGAAGATTGCAATGCATTTGTTATCGTGATCGTCTTCAGTAAAATAATTAATTCATTCATTCAATCCAATGGTGTAATGGTTAGCTCGATCATCTCGCTTGATCTTAAATTTGCTTTTGCGGAATTCAGGTGATATTCGCAAACACCAGTGTCAATATTTTACTATCTAGGGCGTCTACTTATTTCGGAAGAAACCGTAGTCGTTCGTCTTGGCAGCATTTTCATCAATTTTGACATATAGTTCAGTGTATTGGATTATGAAATATTCGAAAGGCATGTTAAGCCATTGGTCTCGGCTGCATAGGTAGTAGTTATTCAATTCAATTCACATCATATCATAAATATAAGAATTCTACAAATTAAAAGTATCGCACACTAACATAATAAACACCTATTATCACTGATATCAACAATCATACAGAAATATAATCATTTCCAATAACAAACTCACCAATCAGTTAACACTCACCAATCCGCACTGGCCCTATGTAATAGGTCATGGGCCATTTTCCCTTTTCAATTCAATTCAATTTCATCTATAACGAAGGTGCTAATGATGATGTGATCAAACTATCTCAATAAAATTTTGATATTCACGTAGTAAGTACCCAATAAATGGATTCCCCAGTGATTTTTTAAGCAACTGAACACTACAATACTGTTTTTGTCTGGAGTAATCACAGAATGAACCAAGACTGACATAGTGTTTAGTGGAACAAAGGCACCGAGTACACTGGCTCTTCATTTCCAGTTCCAAACTTACTGGGTCTTGTGCAGCCAATATCTGTTGCTGTTGTTTAACGAGTTCCGTCTCGGTCTTGACTCGATTAGTCTCGGTCAGCTTTGCAGCAGACACCCTTAGAATTTCATCTCGTACCGGAGACGGAGGTGCCCTCGCCGCTAACGCCGCTGCGCGAATCTAGAACGTTCAGATATAAATAAGACGTTACTTTGAGGTTAGTCTATTGTGTTTGTCCTATTAAAATATGTCGATTGTATTTATGTAAAAGGCGTCCCTTATATTAGGTAATGGATTTACTCTTAATATACTTTTGCTAATAACTCTATTCTATAAGTGGTAGGAGGTCGATATCACAGAGCATTGTTTCCGGAGATGTATTACGGATACGAAATTAGTTTCTAAGTATTATTACGTACTAGATTTTAAGCTTTTTTGTGCAGTACTAACAAAAATATGTTTTTTTATTGTAGTCCGAAATTAACAACTTTATTGTTGAATTTGAGTTTAGCATAATAAAATATCACCATAATTATTTCTTCGGCATATATTTTTTCGCATAATTTATATTTTATTTGAATTTCATTCGCATTTTTTATTTACTCTCGATGATAGAATCGATCAATCGGCATCATAAGTTAGATTAAGTTACAAATGTGAACAAACTTTATTAATACGATTAAGAAAATTATGCTTGAAAAAAAAATAACACAAAGTTAAGGTATTGTGTGATTTTACATAATTACTTTTTAATTAGGATACCTATAATAAGTGATATTGGTAGGTAATACTCACTAAAGCTTCCTTCTCCATTTGTAATGGATCCCTTTGTATTTGATTCTTCTTATTTCGATATGGATTTGATGGTCCTATTGGTCTGTAAAAGAGATAAATTCAATACAGACGGAAAACGTTTGGAAAACTAAACTGTATCAATTATCATTCAATTATCATAAATGGATTACATTTAAAATTAAAGTTTAAATATAATCCTCGTCTGTAATAGCTGCATAATTTAAAAATATATTACTTATATATTTTGCAATTCCTTTAATTCCTTAAAAATAATTGCAACTCTTCATTTACATAATATGATATATCCTGCCAAATAGACTTTCTAGATTGACCTTGTGATTTCAGAAAGAAAAATCTTTGTTAAAAAACTTTCTTGAGTTATATAAAAAATGTAGGATAAACTAAAGGTTATAAAAGATATTGCATTGTTGAAAATCATAACAAGTGAAACTAAGTATTGTTAAAAAAACGATAAAGAATATGTAGTTTTAGTTTTTATATTATCTCTATGTTTTTAAAAATAACAAAGAAAACCTAACTGTAAACTTACTACAAGATCCGCAATGCTTGGGGGCATTCCAGATGATTTTAGAGTCTACTTCACTCAGTAAATACTGTAGATTATTATACAATGGTAAGACAATAGCCTTGGGTTCATGCGAACCGATAAATAATTAATTTAATATACATAACCATAATAAAATAAAATGGACAAGAATAAGCAGTCTAAAGCAGACTCATCTCCACTAGCACCTGTATACGTGCATGACGCAGATATGAAGTAAAGCAAATGTGATAGCAATTCATGATTTATATTACACTTAAAGTCGTAATCGCTTCCAGAATGAAAGATGATTTGAATGATCAAGAAACGCGTCTAATAATTGCCCTATAAAAATTCAGTTAACATCAAATTAATGATATCATTCATTCAATATTACACACACACTCTTAAAAGGACGCCGCGATCGCTATCGCTATCACATGTCAAATTATTGTAGCGTGAAGTTCGCAAATATCGTTTTTTCGTATGTTTTAAAATTAAACTCCTATATTCCATTCATTATAGCATTATACAGAATGAAAATAAGATTCTCATGTTACTTTTAAGACTAACAGCTAATTTGCTACATATCCACTTATATACCAGCTGTTATACTTAACCTTTGTCTTTTAAGCTATCTATTGAACAAATTTATGAGAATCTGACTAACTTAAAACATTTAATAATTATTATAATAAAAAGCGTTCATTTTAAAGAACCTAAAGAAGCAGGGTTAGATAGTTTCGGCACGATTCTCATGTCACTATAACTCTACCAAATTTAAAACGTTGCCTAATCCCTTCAAACGTTTCGGGAGTACAGCTTTTTAATTTTGTCAGATTATGATGTATTCATATTCTGGGATTGTCATTCATTGCGAATGCCTTTCTTGTTGTTTTGCCATTTTCGGTGATTGAGTTATTTCTGTTTGTTTGTTATTTTAGTATAGTTGAAATCAATTTCTTCTATGTATGTGTACATAGAGGTAATTTTCGTCACTGTATTAAATATCATACAGCTAACTTTGAAAAGAACGGCGTGATCAAAATCCTCTATATGATGCTGTATCAAAGAGATATCTTTACATCTTCAATTGTGCTATCATGTCATTATGCTCACCTGCCGGCATTGGGTAAGTTTATTCTCTGTCCTGTATTAGGCGAAGGTAGTACTTGAGCTATATTGTTAGTGCTTGCATATTCCCCAACATTCTGAGAGTGTCCTGAAATTTAAATAAAAATACCCATATTTATCTCTAAAACGATTTTAATTTTCATTTAGGTATATAATATAAATTATGTTCTCGTGAGTCATCTACCTCCCCTTTCATCATCATATAAATCTATTTGGAGTTGTTATGAATTATATAAGTATATTATTATGTGCCAGTGCTTCGTGGAGTGAACGAGTTAATTATAGCATATAATAATATTACATCTTATATATGATTAGCTTTGCTTCATTTATATTTTGTGAACTTTATTTACTAGTACAGTCAATCGTTTATTGTCCTCGTGAAATATTAACAATATACTAAACACTGTTTTGAAGTTGAAATATATTATTACCTGGCGGCATAGCAAGACCCCAAGCGTTGATATCGTTCGCGTCGTTTATGTCAGGTTTGAAGTTTGCGATGGCATTTCTGTGTATGCCCGATATACCGGAGGCGACGTACCTGTGGATTTAACATAGAAATATTCCAGTTGACGTAAAGTATATTAAAGGATAAACCGACTTATTAACTAAGATAACAACTATCTGCTTGTGAATGCATAAGAGGAGGTTCTTAATTCGACTGCTTTTTTTCTGTTTGTTACCTCAAAACTTTTTACAGGTGGACCGATTTTGATGATTCTTTCTTTATTCAAAAGCTAGTGCTTGCCGTCCCATTTTTAATTTAATTTAGTCCAGATCTGGCAATGGCATCTACGAGAAAACCATATAAGTTTTAAATTTGCATTGAGTATGTGTGATGTTTGTTAGCCCAAAATTTAAAATATCACTAAAATGCATAAAATTAAAACTTAACAAAGAATGGAACCAACTTCAAATTCAAGAAAGTAAATATAATAATAATCTTAAAAGCGGTTAAATCTTTTAAGAAACATTGAAGTAGGGCTGAGGTTTTCTGCAGTTAATTAAATATACAAAAATGTTTTCTTGATATCATGAACTTTAACTAGTTTTTGAAGTTTAAAGCACTTATAAGATCTAAGGCTTTTTATAACAACAGATTTACGTTTAATAGGTTTATCGATCTTTAAAATTGGTCATTCCGAATTGAGGACAAAATTAAAAAAGTAATTTTCTTGAAACAATAACTAAACTCTGCATAATTGACTGATACCTACTCATTACCAAGTCCAGGACCAGACAGTTCCCAATCTTGAGGATAGTGGTCAAAGGAAGGAGGTGGTCCGTCGGCGTGAGGTCGTACGACAACGGTAGAAGATGGATGACCGTATGAATGTGAAGGCTGAAAGAAAAATACGACAATATTCAGTAAATATTAGGAAAAAAATCTAAGTCTCGGTTGCACTAATTTACTTTTATAATAACAAACATGTTAAAGTACCGGTTAAGCAAATAATCAATTGCACCATTAGGCATTTAATTGGATGATGTCATAACATCTCATTGATTTATTGCTCAGGTATGATTATATATTTGATGATGTAGTTCGTGTGCAAAATAACGAATTAGATCTTAGCTTTATTTATATGTGGAAATCTATAATTGGCTTATTGCTTATTATGCTTGTAATTTATGTTGTTTGTATAGCTGCTGGTTTTTCAAGACTAATAAAAATAAAAATAACTTTAACAGTTAATTATAACCGCCCAATCTGTGCTGATTGATTTATTGTTTTACTATGCAAAGAAAGAGGATGGTGCAACGCATTCCACAGACAATATTATAGTTTGACAATTATTGTCAAATTTGACATCTATCTCTATTTTCTTCTATCTAGGGTATGTTCCGATATACACTGCGAGCACTGCGCAGTGGTCTTACTGCTGAAAAATTCGTTCCGTTATGGACTGCCAGTACACTGCTACAGTACTCTAGGGCAATTTATGACGTCATAAATTGCCGCTATATTTGTACTGATTTCGAGGTAAGGTGCTCGCAGTGCTTTTGATCACGTGATCAGTCGAAACAGAATCAGAAAATGATAAGTTTATAAATAAAAAAAAAATACTTACGTTTATTTATAAGATGGATTTAATTGATAAATATTTTTTTTATACAATTTTCCAATTTTCTTTTGAAAAGAGGGAATCTTTATATTTATATTCACCTTGCATTAACAAATTTGAAAATGGCGCCAAAAAATAGGATTAACAGTATACTGGACTGCGTTCCGTTTTAAAAAGTCACCAGTATAACTAGCTATAAAGGAACGGGCTTCCAGTATACTAAATTGACGTCATACTATTCAGTGGTCGCAGTGTATATCGGAACATATCCCTAAATATATATAACTCAAAGGTGACTGACTGACATAGTGATCTATCAACGCACAGCCCAAACCACTGGACGGATCGGGCTGAAATTTGGCATGCAAGTAGATGTTATGACGTAGGCATCCGCTAAGAAAAGATTTTGATCAATTGTATCCCCAAGGGGATAAAATAGGGGATGAAAGTTTGTATGAAACGTTGACAATTTTTAAACCGATCATGCTGAGACTTTGCATGCATAAAGCTACTTTGACGTAGGCATCCCCTAAGAAAGAATTTTGATCAATTGTACCCCTAAGGGGATAAAATAGGGGATGTAACTTTATTTCAGGTATTTTACATGATTAATAAATAAATATTCGTTAGAAATGATGCTTTAACCTTACTACACGGACGAAGTCGCGGGCAATAGCTAGTATACCATAAATTTTAGTATTATGGTGCAATTCAGCCTAAGAAACGAGTTTCTTCAATTGTTAACATACTGATTTTTTAATTAACCTATTCTAAACAATACACGACTTGTGAAAATTGTATGTATGAAACTGAAGAATAGAGCTTAAATAACTGAATACTCTTTATTCAACAAAAACAGTAAGTACAACTATCAAATACCAATTTTTCAATTAGTAATTTTTAACATCCTTTAAATATCATATAACAATAAATATAGCTCTTTTGTTTTCGTTGTTATTTGGAATTATTTATTAGAACCTATTAAGGTTGTTTAAACATTCACTAGCAATAGAAGAAGTTAGTGTCATGACATTATCACATAGGAAGCCATATTGATGGCGACGATTATATTGTACACGAATCTTACCTTATGATGATGTGTGATCAAATGGTGATGATGATGATACTTCGTAGTGTGATAGTTCTGGTGGTACCACGAGCACAACTTGAATATATGACTGAGAGCGGGAAACAGAAACAGGAGGAATTTCAGGAACATCTTCTTTGCTGTTGTCACACCCATTATGAGAGGAAGGACAAATACAACCTTTAAAGCTATCAATTTGATCACAAGAATTATGGCTATCGCGGCCGTGAGGAGCTTTTTCCTTATATATTTTTCTGAAACAAACCCAATAACACTAATAAAATAAACGAATCATAAAAAAAATAATTAAAAGAAAATTTAGTGTTTAATACATAATTTACGTACTTCAGTTGTAGAAAAAGCAAATCTAGATATTGAAACCTTGTAGAATACCTACATAATAATTTTAAAACATATTGTTTTTTTTTTCGCGACTATCTATAATATCGTTAATCTTGTATGGAAAATATTTTTAAATTTAATAAAGGGGTGGTACTAAGATAATTTACGTAAGTGAAAGATTAATTTACTTTAAGGCATCATATATCTTCCGTGTTATTCAACTCACTTATTTTATGAAAGAACAGCCTTCCTTGTCCCACACTGCTGACTTTTGGCTCCAAGTCAATATGAACTAATGCTCCAGTCTTGGTTAAAGCTCTTGGTGATATCTTCAATGTAGCCCCTTCAAAGAAAAACTCTGGTAACGTCAGCTTCATGTCATGGGTCACTAAGAATTTTATTCCTTTGTCGTACAATGCGTCTGTAACTTCTTCAAATGGTGATTCTGTAATTAGAAATATGTTTATATATTTACCTTTTATGAAAGTTTATCTTGTTATTAATTATTTTTCCTCGACGCAAAAAGAAAGGTGTTATAAGTTTATATTTGGAACGGTTGGACCTAAACCGGTGAATTCGTTTTGTGCTGGTTTTTTTGGTAACCATGTTTATTCGGACGCGCATAGAACGCCTGCTCACACACACACACACACACACACACACACACACACACACAACACCAACTTAATTTCACGCTTGGAGCAGTTGAAGTTAAAATGATATTATTTGTGTAATTAATGGTCTAATTTAGATAATTTAAATTAGAGACATTTGTATTAACTAAATACAAGAAATACACTATTTATACACAAACAAATATGTAATCATGATCTTTTTCAGACTTCATCTTCACCGTCCAGTTAATGTCCCCAGTGCTGATGCACAAGCTTTCACCATGGATGGAATAGCTATCTTCACCAGCTTATTCAAGTCGGATCAAGGTATCAACGATCAAGGAATCGAATAGGGAGAATAGATTAAATATTGCACTATTAGAATTGATATTAAATTAAACAAAAATAATGTATCATGTATTTATAAACTACGCCTTTAAAATTTCTTCCGTAGATTTCACGTCTTCAGAAATTTACACTTTCCTGTAATTTCACCTGTATTGTTCGGTCAATACTTTCAATACATATAAAATCGCACGTTCCAGATATGTCTCGTCTCATACGCAATATTGATTTCACCTTTCCTATTCTTACGTCTTCCGCAGGTTGAAAAAAAAACGTGAATGGAACATAGTTCAATGGGCATTACAGTAAGATAATGTTATTAAAAAAATTAAACGTTATAATACGTAAAGTTTATACAAAACTACTTAGTATGGGTTATACAAAACGACTTAGGATTGGTTATACAAAACTAATTAGGATTGGTTATACAAAACTAATTAGGTTAGTGACAATTGTTAGCTGCTCATTTCAATGTTACTAGAATGTATTGGTACTAGAATGTATACTAACTTTGTACGTATATATTTAACAAAAATTAGGCACAGGTAATAAAATGTGATCCTAATCCACAGAAAGTATATCTTTTCATTTAGTAAAAAAATTAAACTGCTTAACTAAATGTAATAAAAAAGCAAAAACCTGCAACAAAAAAACAACTGCGTGAAAACAAAAGAACGAAGTGAAAAAATAATTTTCTTTATTACCAATCGACGGAGTCCCGTATAATTTGAATGGGACTGTTATCCTTCTATTCTGATTTTGAATTTATGATATTATGATTTATGTGTGTATATATTTTTTATTTATTTCAATGGAGCAGTTATTCAGTAGTACTTAATAACATTTCAAACTACTGGGCTTGTTTTTTTTCTTCTTAGTGAAAGTAATTATATTTTTTTTCACTTCTTTCTTTTGTTTTGACGCAGTCGGATTTTTTTGTTTTTCGTAATGATCTTTTTATTTTTGTTCTTTTAAGTTACTGCTCATTGACTTCGTAATTAGAACTATAAGACGGTAAATTTCGCAACCTTGTCATTTCATTAAGGGAGTTTATATGGTGAGGATTATTAAGCAACTTGCGGTGGTTTAAACTACTGATTATTAATCCCTCTAGAGATCTCACTCGGCTCAAATCTACATATGCTTAACCTTTAGCAAAAATTCGCTAACTTAAGTCAACCACAGCTCGGTCCAAAGTAGTTCTTGGCACTTAAAAGCTTAATAATTTGTGGACGGCTCACTACATCTAAAAACGGTCTTCGCACACTTCTAATAATTTTGATAGACCTATCCAACAATATCCCACATTATAGGGAAATCGAAAACCCTAAGGGTACCCTAAAAAAGAATTTTGATTACTGTTATATGTTTAGTGACACTCGCAAGGTTAAGACAAGTCGATTTACGTATAAATTATCAAAATTGGCCAAGTCAAGGTCTCTACAATGCCATATAGAAACAAACATACATACATAGACTCATAAACACATTAACCTCCTTTACGTTGCGCAGTCGGGTAATAATATTAGTAACAATAACAACTCCAATGAGTGGTATGAGCCACTCGTCGTTTAGCGAATACTGTATGCGAGTGATAGAATAAACGTCAAGACATCAAAATTGTTACACTGCCTTTAATATCCTAAAAAGCTAAGATGTATTAAAATACCCAATTGGATTTTTGTGTTAAATTCTTAGATCGTATTGTTTATCAAAGTTTAAACAGAAATAAATTTTAAGGAATATTTAGCACACAATAATTATTTGAGCAGTAACGAGGAAAGTCAAGAAGACGAAGATGAAAGTACACAATGTTTCATATACACACAGTTTATATATATGGCAAAAATATTTTCCATTCAGCCAAAATACGTATAAATTTCATTACATTAAAAACTGGTTCTTACTTTTTGCTGCGCGAAAGAATAAATTCAATATTTCGAATCATGTTAGCCACCCTGCAGACGAACGATTAAGAAATACTAAAAATCAGAGTCCTGCGGCTTAGAACATGGCTCTTTTTAGAGGCTTTTTTTAGTTTCCAGATTAAAACTTCAGAAGATGTTTCTTGAATTTGATAACCTCCTTATAGCCATTACATAATATTAACCTTTTCTTACCCATGTCTTATTCTATACTTTCTTCTTCTTGTTTTATCAGCCTTCCTCTTGTAGCATCGTATTTAAGTTCACGAACTGTTTAATCACTTCATGTAATATGTATATATCTTTGGCTATTGCAGTTTTGTCAAAAGTCGATTTCTCATTACATATTTTTTATGAAGCTAACTGTACATTTGTAGTTGCATCAAACGTTGTAAACTTAAACCATTCCCGAATTATACTCATGCTCGGAGTAGTGACTATACTACAAATAGAATTTAACTATGGCTTGAGATCATTTTCATGTTCACCATTAGGAGAGTTAAGTTATCGTAACTAAATGTGTCATTGTTATGTTGTTAGTTACTTGTACTTTATTAAACTATTTTACATATCTACCCGCCTTTTAAGAATGTAAGATTTTATAGTCAAGGTCAAACTTTTATATATTTCAATATAGCACAATAATTATTTAATATTTAACTCGTTTTAAAAATATTTTTCATTTTTAGTTATTTCATCGTTTTAATCGTGTTTTAGCGAAACATTTCATTTTATATCCAAATAATGGAAACGCACAAAAAATAACTGAACCGCCATCTTGAACTGTCCGCCATATTATATTTAGAATTTTCATCTTAAAAATTTCAGCGTGTAAATTATAGTAATTTAAATGCTGAAACTTTAAAATTCTGTTACATTAAATCATATCTTTTGATTGGCTATTTAAGTAGCTTATCTAAGCAAAACGTTTACGTGCAAGGCAAGTAAAAAATACTAGGGAAATTATTCTGTTAAATAACGTATTATTATTCCTATCTTCTATATTAAGGATATCAGTTTATTATTGTAAGTACTTCACTAAGCCCTGACATTGAAAACAGGCTGTCATAAATTTGATGTATAGTGGATCTTTATGTTATCGTAGCTTCAAAGAGGTTTTACAGATTTTGATTTAGGTTTTTTCAAACTATTCACGTGATTAAAAAAAAATGCATATTGTTATTTTGATGTGTTGTCATAGAAACCTAAACTATGATGTAGAGATTTTAATCTATTTTTTTTTAATTCTTGTTCACTTTTCCACAGATAATAATATATATGGCACACAGTTGCGCGCCCAAGATAAAAGACATTAAAATTTATGCAAATCATTCCACTTCTCAATTTGTAATGGCCAAAAAGTTTTAGTTCTATTGTTTAAACATTTTTCAAGTCAACCTATTTCACATAGCTTTTTTTTTCTAAATCATTGGTGTCCACAACTTACTTTTGTCGTTGTAGGAGCTTATATTTAATTAAATTAGATTCACTGTGAGACTTTGGTGAACTCGCTTTGATACTATAGTGGTCTAAGTTTAAAAACAAAATCCAAGAGAAGAATCTGAACTTACACTTTGGATATAACCGCATAATTTTTTTTTCTGTAAATTGATATTTGGTATATTAGTAAGTAGATAAATAAATGTTAGTAAGGTAAAGGTTGAAAAAAAAATTAAGTTGCGAATTTTAATTTAATTACTTCCACGTAAACTATGTATCTGAGGATATATCAAGTTTTACAAAAGAGTACTTTTAAGTTTTCTTTAGCTACTTTAAATATACGTTAAAGTAATTATATGAAATTTTTCCAACAAATACGAAAAGTTTTACAACGGTACTTACGCTTATACTACGGAACCCTAAATACAGTAAAGCAGCGAATATTGTCGCGGTCTCTGCTGGGATAACCAATTTTGTTGCTATTTACGTACAGGTCGTTTTCTTGCTTTTATGCTATCTCAATTTGGTAGCGGGAAAAGTTCCAGAGATCTGCAAACGCATGTTCATCTTTTCTTGCAAAATACAAGGGTTCACAAACGCACTTCGCGAACTGTAGGGTCATCAGTTCGATTAGCTAAAGTATAGTAAATGTTACTTGATTTGAAAATGGGGATAAATTCCTTTTTTTAAATAAAAAATATACATCTTTTACGTATTCATCTCAAAAAGTTCATGGTTTAATAAATATGTAATAAATTATTAATTTTACCACCGTACTTTTTCTCTTCCCGTATAATGAGGGTCGTATATCCATGTTTCATTATACAATTCGTAGAAACTCAAAATAACTAAATCATTATAAAACGAAACTTAATTCAAGGTTATATGAAACAGAGTTAACTATTCACATTAGGTAAAAAATTTGGTGAGCAAGCGACTTCACTCAAATAAAATTAAACCTTATCTATTTAGCATTAAAGATACTTATAAAGATTACTTTTAAATTATTCTTCGCCGGTTATTTCACTTTCACTGAATAATGACAATGATGAGGCGTTAGAAATGTTTTAAAATTGATAATGTACGAGTATTAGAAAACATTTTGTTTCTCCTAGCTTTTT